TGTTATTGTGGGGAGAAATAGTGTATCTTCACATGACAGAAAAATCACTCTTCAATATAGTTGCAGACCTGTAGCATTATGATTTTATATATTTGTCTTTGACCATAACGCTACAGATCCCGTAATGCAAAAAAGGTGCAATTGATGGCGCATTATTTTTTGCGCACTTTTAGGGAGAATTTCTCCACTTTCCAGCATCAGTCAATTAACTATCTTTCACTCCCTAATTCTAAGCACATTATTTAACTAATCTGTATATTTTATCCACCAGCTCCCAACCCTTTATAGGGTCATGTACAGTCTCGGGTCATAAGTATTCGTAAAAAAACAAAATGGCGGCGATGTAAACAAAAGGCCAGATAAAATTAATCTTTAGATTCTCATCCTAATTTGCTAAAAAATTGGGGCGGGTGGGCGGATTTTGTTTTTTATTTTTTATAATTGAGTATCAACAAAACAGTTGGACTCTTCATACACATTTTTTTTTCATTATGTTAATGCTAATTTGAATATATTTTATTGTTCTCCTATTATTTTTTAAAATATCTACAGATGGTTCTTGCTTTAAAAAATCAAATATTTATAGTTTAATTAAAAATCATCATGTACACATGCATGTAAGGCACACGCCAAACAAAATGAGGTGCTGATACCTATAAATTGTGCATGTATGACTTCTCATCGCCTTTCCCCAAATATCTTTTAGTTTTACCAATAAATCCTTCTGTTTTGTGTAAAATCATGGAGTGGGACCTATTATTATATAGGTTCCTGGTAAAATATACATGTAGGTCATGTTAGATTTCCTTTACCTTCCTCAAAGATTTGTTGTTTTCAATATATGTCATTTTTTAAATTTGTATTTTATACTAAAATTTATTATTTACAACTTTACAATAAACCTCCAAAGTTGAGACACCATTTTGTCAAAGCGTGTTTTTGCACGACATAAAAATACATGTAGGTCATGTTAATTTGCAAAATCTATAAAATTTCCTGCTGAAAAGCCTAGGCCTGAACAGTTTTAAGATTTAACATTTCATTAACATTATTATTTTCTAAAGTCTGCTGGTGATGTTTCATTCACTTTTTTAAAATACAAAATCACATACAGCTGGAGATCGGCAAAACTTGACCAGGTGTCATTTTCTTCGTCTATTTTTACGTAGTTTAAATCTCTCTAAAACTTGCTCATGCCAGTGATGATATCAAGATGTGTAGTTATTTTTTCTCCTCTGCTTTCTCTGTACTGACAAATTATCTTTTCCTTACATATTTAAACTGCTTTTATTGCCGATTTTTCTTCATTCTTCACATGGCTTTTTTTGCTATATAAATAGCGACACGCGACTTTTAATACAGACGGGCGATAACTCTTAAACTTTGATCCAAAGTTTGCTGAATAAAAAATACATGAAAATACTTTTAACACTCAAAAATCAAAATAAAAAACATCGGGGCGGGACATTTTGAGAGAGGCGGGCGGGGATGAGAATCTAAAGATTAATTTTATCTGGCCTAACTAGGTCACCTTAGTTTCATCAAATTTTTAACTTAATTAAATTTGCACCAACCTTAATATTTCATAAGACAGCCTTTTGACTTGATTACTGCTTTAATTCTTCTTGGAATCGACTGGTATAGCCTTTGAATGAATTGAAGTGGGATGTTTTCCCAGGCCTGTCGAACGGCGACTGCAAGGTCATCATTGGTCCTCAGGTTATGAACATTTATATTAAGTTTGTGTTTCATTTTTTTCCAGCAATTTTCGATAATATTTAGGTCAGGACTTTGGGCTGGCCATTCAAGTGTTGTTATTCCCTCTCTAGTTACGAAATCTTTCACTACTCTTGCTCTATGCACAGGCGCATTGTCGTCTTGAAATATATACCGATTGTTAGGGAAATGCCTGGCTACAACAGGCCATAAATTGTTATCGATGATTTCAATATATTTTTCGGCATTAATATTACCGTCAACAACACATAAAGTACCTACACCGTAAGCTGTTATACATCCCCACACCATCAAATCAAGGCGCCGTCCAGGAGGGGGTGCAACACAAGGGGGGTCCCATTCTTCACCGTCCTTCCGCCACACATACACGCGTTGTTCTCCATCAATCATCACCTTACATTCATCACTGAATATTATATCATTCCAAAACCCATCGACAGTTTCGTGTCTTTATTGTTTACACCAATTAACTCGCTTTTTAGCTCACCTGAGCCGAATGCTCAAGTGAGCTTTTCTGATCAAAATTTGTCCGTCGTCTGTCGTTGTTGTTGTCGTAAACTTTTCACATTTTCATCTTCTTCTCAAGAACCACTGGGCCAATTTCAACCAAACTTGGCACAAAGTATCCTTGGGTGAAGGGGATTCAAGTTTGTTCAAATGAAGGGCCACGCCCTTTTCCAAGGGGAGATAATCATAAATTTGTTAAAAATTAATGGCATTTTTAAAAAATCTTCTTCTCCAGAACCGATGGGCCAGGAAAGATGAAACTCATGTGGAATCATCCTCAGGTAGTGTAGATTCAAGTTTGTTCAAATCATGACCCCCGGGGCAAGGGTGGGGCCAAAATGGCCGACCCAAGTTTTACATAGGAATATATAGGAAAAATCTTTAAAAAATCTTCTTCTCCAGAACCACTGGGCCAGGAAAGATGAAACTCATGTGGAATCATCCTCAGGTAGTGTAGATTCAAGTTTGTTCAAATCATGACCCCCGGGGCAAGGGTGGGGCCAAAATGGCCGACCCTAGTTTTACATAGGAATATATAGGAAAAATTTTTAAAAATCTTCTTCTCAAGAACCACTAGGGCAGGAAAGATGAAACTCATGTGGAATCATCCTCAGGTAGTGTAGATTCAAGTTTTTGTTCAAATCATGACCCCTGGGGCAAGGGTGGGGCCAAAATGGCTGACCCAAGTTTTACATAGGAATATATAGGAAAAATCTTCTTCTCCAGAACCACTGGGCCAGGAAAGATGAAACTCATGTGGAATCATCCTCAGGTAGTGTAGATTCAATTTTGTTCAAACCATACCCCCGGGGCAAGGGTGGGGCCAAAATGGCCGACCCAAGTTTTACATAGGAATATATAGGAAATATCTTTAAAAATCCTTCTGAAGATCCACTGGGCCAGGAAAGATGAAACTCATGTGGAATCATCCTCAGGTAGTGTAGATTCAAGTTTGTTCAAATCATGACCCCCGTGGCTAGGGTGGGGCCAAAATGGCCGACCCAAGTTTCACATAGGGATATATAGGTAACCCTTTTAAAATCTTCTTTTCAAGTACTTCAAAGCTACGATTAGTGATATTTATATGGAATCATCCTCAGGTAGTGTAGATTCTAGTTTGTTCAAATGATGAACGCCTGGAGGGGGGGAGTAAATTCAAGCCCGATGTGCTCAGGTAAGCGCTGTGGCCCCTGGGCCTCTTGTTCTTGTTGACTTCACGAATCCGAAGTTTTTTCTTTACAAGCCTCCTCCGGTATCCCCCTTTTCTCAAAGTTCTTTTCACGGTACTTTCTGACAGTCTACTAGACCCATTTTCATTGGTAACATTCGTTAATTCTGTCAAAGTCCTTCGACGATTATTTTTCACAAGTCGAATAAGTTGCCTTTCCCCTTGGACACTACACTTACGTGGTCTGCCACTTCGATCCCTGTTTTCTGTATTTCCATGTCTTTGTTGTCACTTTAAAAAACTGCATATTGTAGATATAGGTCTTCCTGTTACCTCTGATATCTCCTTTAACTTTATATTAGCTTCGGACAAAGATAGAATACTTTCTTTCTCGGACGCACACAGTTCAAATCCTTTCCTACCCATTTGTTTTGAAAGCGGAAACAAAACATTTGCAGACGACAAAATACGTCATAACAAAGCCACGTGATCTGTCATGTGCTTGTAAATATTTGTACGTAGTAAGAGGGATAACTCTAATTTGTGCGTCAAGAACGACGCTGAAATGGGAAGCGAACCGCAGCAGTGAAAAAGTAGGCCGCCATTTTTTACGAATACTTTTGACCGAGACTGTACTTTATGACCTTTTTTGCATTACGGGATCTGTAGCGTTATGGTCAAAGACAGATATATAAAACAATAACGCTACAGATCTGCAGCTATCTGCAATATATTTTAATATAAAAATATACAGTGTTTACGGGTATATCGTGTGTGTCACTATGTGTTCTTAATCAAGTTTATTTCAACAAAACTTGTCTGCCTGGTGCTGGCAGATGTGTCCAGCTGAGTTTATTCAGGGACCTATTCAGTGCAGAACTGTAGCGTTATGGTTTTATTTAGTCTTGGACCATAACGCTACTGATCCCGTAATGCAAAAAAAGTGCAATTTACAGCGCAAGATTGATTTTTTTTTGGCACTTATTGGGAGAATTTCTCCACTTTCCAGCACTGGTCTATCAACTATACCCTTTACTCCCTAATTCTAGTCACATTCTGTAACCATTGCCAATTTGCATTTTTTATCCACCTCCCAATCCTTTTTAGTAATAATCTCTTCAGACAGTAAACTTACATGAAGTGAATTTTCGGCAATCCAACAAAAAATCACTTATTGGATATTGGTTCACAGTTTGATACTTTTGACTTGGTGCCCTACCGGTAATTAATGGTGTGTCAGGTCGACGCTCTTATACTGTTATAGGAGTATACACATTGTTACCAAGATCATGTAATCTGAGGTCATTATTAATTCAATTTCTTATAGTTGTAAAATACCATGTGATAAAATGGTTTGGTCAATAGTTGTAGGTGAAATAGAGATCTTTTATTTTGAATTATAGAGAACATATTAGATATCTGTTTTCTAGCTTTTGATGAACTTCTGATGTGACTCTGTTTATGTATGAGTCATTGTTTATGCATTGTGGACCTGCTTTACAACTATTTACCTGTGTGCATATATTAAAGTGAAAAACCTGTTGTGTCTTATTTACCATGTGCACTGTAAATGGAGGTTTAAAAAGTGAAAGATGTCAGTTTTACTTTGAAAATCATAGTTTGACATTGGCCATTTAATATCTGTATGACAACATTCCTCTTGTGTATTTTTAGGTTTGGAGGTGGCCCATAAGAACTTGTATGTCCTGTATAGTATAAGAGGAGATTGCTGTACTGGATTATTACATGTGTGATGTGAGGAATAGCAGAGGAGAACAGACCTATACAGGTAAGGTAGGATTTGATAACATTGTGTGTTGTAGCATCAATGAGATTCCTCTATTATCTCCATCATTCAGGGCACTCCCCTAGCAATTAACAATCGCAGGTGCGATTAAAAAAAAAATACTTTATACATTTAATATTCATGAATTGGAAAGAACAGCAGGCATAAAATATAATATTCTCTCATCTGGATCATACTTGAATATGACTGCCTTTTTTATTAGCTTACCAGAATCAAATAAATTAAGGCTCAAGTGAGCTGTTGTTGAGATTATCGTAATTTAAAAACATATTTCCTATTTCTTAAGTTCTCCAGTTTAAACCTATATAACTTTGACCAGAGTATCCTCAGATGATGGGGATTCATTTTTTTTTTTTTTTTACAAATGAAAGGCCACACTTTCTTCCAAAGGGAGATACTTTAAAAAAAAAATGAAAAATTTGGTTTTACCATGTAAAAGACCTCCGGAACACTTCTAGTATACCGGTCCCTGTAAATATGGTGCTAAAATAGGTGCTGCCCAAGGTGGTGTACAATATATAGACGATCCGCGAGCGATCGACAAAATCAAAAAAGAAGCCACAAATTGCAAAATTGACCCCAAATTTGTGTTCCTTGTGAATAATTGGGTTTAAAAACTGTTTTTTAAAAAACTGGTTTTTAAACACAGTTTTTTAAATGAGAATTTAAGTTTTTGTAAAATAACGTACTTGTTTAGGAAGTAAAACTCCATCTTGCGTTGTTTAGGAATGTGGTCACATGATAAATTTTTGACGTCATCTCGACAAAAATATTCATGAGGTGTGTCACTTGTGTTTTGACGTAATGAAGAAATACCTGGTAGGACTCAAAGTGAAATGCTATTGAAATTGTGAGATTTTTGTGAGAGATACAGGGATTTAACAAATGTAAGCTAATTACTAGTTATTGATTGATTGAATTGTGCATCATCATCTATTTGAAAGGAAAAATATTCTGAATATGAACATTAGGAGGTCAGCATAATGAGCTACAGTAAATGGTAAGTCGCTTTTACAAAAAATTGCTTAAACTTAGCACTCAAAATTGGTCATGTTTCAACATTAGACCTAGTTGATTCATCTGAACTTTCATTCATAAAACTTTCCTGTTCTTTGTAAGCAAAAATTTCACCAACTAATCCAAAGTGATGGAAATGTATTTAAAACAGTTACAATCTCTGAGCTTTATATACTCTAACCCTAATCCGTCAATCGCATACAACGCATCCATATTTCATTAACAGTTTTCTTCATGTTTTAAATTATACATGTCTCATACTTTATTCCTTGCAAGATAATCCCTATAATAACTCGATCGAATGCGTTTTGTTGAAGTGAGTGGAAAATGGAGGTTTGTTTACATTCTGCATAGCAACGTCAAGGGAAATAACTGCATGCTCATGTGCAATCGCATGATTTTGGGTATCGGCATACTAGAAACTTCCCAGACCTCCTCTTAACAACCATTGGGCCTCTAAAGATGAAACCTTGACATAGTGTAGATATGATTCAAGTTTCTTCAAATCATGAAGAAGGTTGAATTTTAAAACCCTTATCCTTGTACAGTTTTGAAAATAATTGTAGACTTAAATCAAGCTTTAAAATTCATTATAAAGTGACTGCTTATTGCCTGACGTCATGGCGTCAAGCTGTATAAGGATTGAAATTTGCAAGATCCGAAACTGTGCGATCATATCTTGAGAGCCAGATTTTGTGCCAGCTGATTAAGATTGGAATTCTTCACCTGCATTTTAAAAGGAACAGTTTTCAGAAAAAAGGATGATATAACTGATGCAAAATACTGCAGTGTTTACTTCCTAATTTACTCTTTTTGCATGGAACAGATTATTCCATGTGATTCGCCGTTTCAACATGTCCATGTATCCTTTTTTTCTGCATTTCTATACTACTGGATCAGTCCATTTATATGGACCCCCATACACACAGAATAACAACTCTTTAGTATGCAGTGTAGAGATGATTCTTCTACAAGTTAAATAAAATCAAGATTTCAATTACACAAGGTTCTCAAAATATAAAGTTTGGATATGTATTGAACCCACAAAAAGTATTTGCTCAAAAGGTTTATCACTTTTCATGTAGATAAATTGATTGATTTAGTCAGGCAAGCTTTTTAAAAAGCTGTTACTTGTGTTATCTTTAAGGTTGAGTACAAGACTATTTTGTTGACCCCTAATTATCCTTTTTCTTTTGTTTTGGGGCAACATATCTTCATCTTTCTGTTAATTTTGTCTTATTTCATACTTTGACAGTGGATCCTTTACTGTGTTGTGTTATACTGAAATGCCCAGTAATGCACATGGACTTTTTAATTTCATTAATTAGCACAGAGTGATTTCTACTTGTAGTCCAAAATGTAGACTCTTATAAGAATAAAGGAATGAAAATGGACCAAAATAATTGCAATAAAACTAAAATATATACAATATGCATGGTTAGGCTGTTTAAGATTAATTCTATGTTTAACGTCACCCGCGCGCGTAGGTTTTGGAGAACATCGTCTTTGAAAAAAACAAACAATTCGAAATTCCGTATTTCCGTTCCGGTTTGGTTCTACATTTAGCGACTGAATTCTGCATCCCGTAGTGACAGAAAATGTGCTTTGATACCTCAGTAGATGGTGTTTGTGTTTATTAAATGAAAAGGAGTGAATTAAACAGTATGGGATCATAAATGTAAGTAAAAATTTTTTTGTTTTTATGATTGAAGTTAATGACAAAGTCTAGTTTGTTGATTTTTTTTTTGTCAGTCTTCGAATCATATGTACCATGTGTACAGACTGTGACAATGACAGACTCAGTTCTTGATTATTTTGGCTGAACTTTTCATCGTATTTTGGAGAGAATCGCAGAGCTTTTAACTGAGTGCAAGATGTGTAAAAAATTATATACAGTGAGATGCATCATTTAAATTTTATCAAATACTTTCACATTAAATATTTGTAAAAATTTAAAGGAACAGTAATGAGTAAGATTGATTTCTTCATAATTCAAGTACGTACCTAGTATGAATACCTACATGTTTTTGGAACTATAATACTAGTCTTTGCCATTTGAGCAGGGAGAAGCTTACAGAAGATAAGCCTTTCAAGTGAAGGAGAGTAAGGAAAGTGGTTGGGTATTTTAAGAAGTGAAGAACCATGTCCTGTGTGTGGAATTGAAGGTATTTAGAATAAACTACATGTAATACACTTTCAAATCTAAATTCTAATAGATCTAGTACTGTGAGAAAAAAATACAACATAATTCAATTTCAAGATATTTCAATATAAGAATGTATTAAATATTGTCATCATAATCTTTATTGTAGATATTGATCAACTATTCCCACAAGAAGAAGCATTTCCTTACAGGGTACCATGGATGTGAGGCAATATAAATCCAAAGGACAAGCAACTTTCCTGCACATTCAGTCTACATTGTTTGCTCACAACAAGACTCAAACCAATTAACATTCTAAGGAAAAACTCTGCTAGGGAAATTAAACTTAGGTGTCACATCCAATACTCTTATTACTCAATTCTAGTTTATGTACTGAAATGGTTTATTTGAATAAATTCACAATTGTTTGAAATTTTTGTTTGTTTATTTTTTTCCTCCCTCCCTCGTAGGTTTTGAACTTTAGATGTGACGTTAAACGTAGAATTAACTTTGAACAGCCTTATATACTGATGTGAATCATCCAAAATGCTTAATTGTGGTAATGATCATTTATTTATCTTAAATTCCTAAGTAATTAGTCCCCTTCATGAAGGACAGTATGGTTGGACATTGGATATTTTCCTGTGATGTGTATTGGACTAAATAAGAGTCTGAAAAATAGCTGTGATTTGTTGTAACTTGGGGCTATACATTCATTTCAAGACTCAGATGTGTGTTTTTGGACCCCTGGGGTAAGGCAGAGATACAAAGATATTCACCTTGATAAATAGCCAGTGCATAAAGCAAAAGTCTTTAAGCCACACAAAAGTCACCAGAAAAATTCAAGTGGGAGATACAAACATGCATCTTCTGTGATGAATGTTTTAATAAATGTTTGCTGTACATGAAGTATTTAGTCAAAATACCTGTGTATTGCATAATGAACACAATTAATAAGAGAAAGGTATGTATACGTAGTAAACTCAAAATTGTCTTTGATTTTAATTGTTTCATGTATTAATTTTGACAGAAGACAAAAGATTTTAAAATTTTGATTTTAGACTGTTTTTTTTTCTAAGTATCACTCTTTTGCCCTCTTCATACAGATTGAGATTTTAATATAATGAATTAAACTTAAGTTTCTGTGAATTAAAGTTAAACCATGATCAAATTGGGATTTTAATGCAAATTAGTTAAATTTGATATACCGCATAAGCAGAATTTTTAGCAAGGATTTAATATTGGCATTATTGTAGAGGTTGCTGACATCGCTAAAATTGAACATTGCTAAAAATTAATTGCGTTTTATTTGTAATTGCTTTTTTTTTTTTAGGGGATTAGGGGTTTTGGTGTAAGGAGGGAACTCATGTGATTATGTAGTGAAAATGCATGAATTCTTTAAAAATCTTCTTCTTTGCTCCTGGGTATTAAACAAACTAACTAACTATATAGTTATGATGAGCAAGAGTGTTTCTTCCAAATTGTGAATTTTGTGGGCCCTGGGTTGGGGGTTGTGATGATGTTAAGGCTGGGCTTTACCGTAAATCTGGAAATTTTTGCTGTAGATAAATTTTTAGCAAATTTACGAGTTCATTACATTCGCAAAAATATTTTTCTTGAAAATAAATCACCAATAATAAAATGTAAACAAAGCAGGGGTCATTTGCAAAATTTTGAAACGTAAAAGTTAATCAACAGCATTTTGACCCGAATTCGCAAAATAAAATCGACGTAAAAATTTCCAGATTTTCGGTATTGATTACATAGTGAAAATACATTGATTCTTCAAAAATCGTCTTCTCTGCTCCTGGATATTAAAGGTACTTGGACACAGATTTGAAGTTAATTTTTTCTCTATAATATTACGACTTATATATTTTAATAGCATTTCACACAAAAATTAATTAAAAATCTTACTTCATTTAAAAGTTATTAAAATTTTAAATTTTTTGTCGGGTTTGATTGACACATCCTTGCACTTTCACAAATTTTAACTTTATTCTTAATCCTTAGGAAAAGTGGCAGTCTTGTTGTGTATTAATGAAAAATATTAATACTATAATCCAGAAAATTCAGAGTAGACATGTTAGAAAGCAAAACAAACACACAATATATTGACAGTCCGTGCAGTTGTGGTGAGCAGACTTTGGCATTTGAACGCACCTGGTGAATCGTAAACATTAAACAATAATAGAGATGTGTCCTGTTTACAAAAACTATGTACATAACACGAGTGTGCTCGATTTGCTAAACTCTATACACAACGGAATGATGATACTTGTGAAGGAGTTTTGCTTTCTAACATTTCTACTCTGAATAAAATAACTTTTCTGCATTGAAGTTTTAATATTTCTCATTAATACACAACAAGTTTGCCACTTTTCCTAAGGATTAAGAATAAAGTAAAAAAATTGCGAAAGTGCATGGATGTGTCGATCAAACCCGCCAAAAAAATTAAAGTTTTAATAACTTTTAAATGAAATAAGATTTTTAATTAATTTTTGTGTGAAATGCTATCAAAATATATAATTCATGATATTATGCAGAAAATATTAACTTCAAATCTGTGTCCAAGTACCTTTAAACCAATTAACTATGTACATAGTTATGATGAGGAAGGATGCCTCTTTCAGATTTGTGAATTTCCCTGGGTCAGGGGTTCTGGTGTTAGGGTGGGGCTCTAATGATTATGTAGTGATATAGTATATAGTTTTTTGTGAAAATGCATGAATTCTTTGAAACTCTTTTCTGTTGCTAGAAAGGTGTATCTAGCAAAATGGTTAATTTCATGTTCTCTGGGTCAGGGGTATTGGGGGAGGGAGGGGTGTTAACAGTGCATAGTCTGAAGATAAATTAATGCTTTGAAATCTGCTTTGTGGTATTAATCAACCATTTATGATGAAATAAAATAGGGTGAGTTAACCATTCATCGGACACATACCTTGCTTCGGACAACTTTAGGCAATAAACTCCCTTTCAACTTTAGAGTTCCGTGTATTTATCTGTTTCTGACTTGAAGCTGAGGATTTAAATTTTTTGATAATACCAATTGTTAATATTATGTTTTGATAAAAATACCTCGAGAATGGCCTTGAAGTTACGTCATATTTTACATCATCAAAGGGGAATAACCAAAAAATTAAGATTTGGCCATTTTAAGAGTTATCGTTCTTTAAATTGACTTCCATGGAACGAGTAAGCCTTTGGTGAATTTTGTCAGGGATGGGTTATTTTACACAAATTATAAAGAAATTTCACTTCAATGTTTGTTTAATTCCTATTAAAGCTGGTTTTTACTAGTATACTCATTTAACCGTACATCGGACACAAATTAACCATGCATCGGACACTTTCTGATGCAAAGTTAATCACTACCATTTTCATACAGAACCCAACTGACAGTTGTTGTTTGCGGAAATAGAAAATAAAAACTCTAAATTTACAGTCAAAATACAAATTATCGATATATTACGTCTAGAATCTGACTCAATTTATTTCTACAAACCAGAGTATTTTAACGCATGAGAAAAAGGCACGAATTACAGCAAAACAAGCATTTTAATGCCTTTCTAAGGCAGAGTAAGGCATCTTGAATCTTTCCATATTTGTGCAACAATATCGTCAAATAAATTTAATTTGAGGGTTATTTCTTAGATAAAATATAAAAGTATATCTATATCAAGGATTTTAAAGCACTATGATAAAGGTATGATATTTTCCCAGTCCAAATACCGTCTGTCCGATGCTTGGTAAATAATGTTCGATCCATGGTGAATTCTAAGCTATTTTTAAAAACTTGATTTTTGATAATATTTCCTCAATAAAAAATATATAATTGTGTCCCAAATTCATATTTCGATCCCATACTAAATGTTAAGCTTCATTTTGATAACTTTTCGTCGGTAGCGATATCACTAGAACTTGTTGGAGTACAAGGGTGTCTGATGCATGGTGAATTCACCCTATATGATAACATGTCCAAAATGTTGTAATATGTGGCCCCAGGGTCAGTGGTTCCTGTGTGGTGGGGTGCATGACTGGTAAGGTTATAAAGTGGAAATGCATTTTCTCTTTGTAACTCTGCACTAACTCTGGGTATTAAGTAACTAGAGTAAGCATTCTAAGTGTATAATTATGATAAGCAATGGTGCCTCTTTCAAAATTGTGAATTTCATGGCATTTGGTTTAAAACACGAATCAAATTCAATTTTTGGAAAGTTGTTTCATGATACTCAGGTGACCTATAAGGCCCGTTGGCCTTTTGTTACATTCTTTATGCTTTGAATCCTACCAGCATCTGATTGGGCTTAATGTTTTTTGAGTTATGGCAAATTACTAGTGGGTGTGATGTCCAAGCAGACTTAAATAGTGCATGCAGTTTATTGTTGAAGCCATTTCCCTTCAGATTTACAGCATCTGAGTTTTCAAACTAAATTAGAAATGTTGTATAACCATTACTTTAGTTTCACCATTATCAACACAAAAATATTCTCCAAAGAACTATATGCGGTATTAACCAACATTTGCCCCCCAAAATCAAACTTTGATGTAGTAATATTTAATTAAGTCCTTAAACAGGGGAGTATATGCTGACTTCAAAGCACTGAATAATTTCATAAGTAATGACGTCATATGTACGTAATGACGTCACAAATATGACGTAAATTTCAATTTTTTATGAATTTTGCCGAAAAATGTACATATTTCGTCGATATTTTAAATAAAAGTCACCGAGCGCATGTGTGTTCAGGATAAATATTTTGATATAATGTGTAGAATGATAATATCAATGAAATATGTCAATATTGTTCCTGAACACACATGCGCTCTATAAATTTTAAAGCTTAAATTGTTGAAATTTTGTCCATTTTGTCATCTTTCTGAAAAAGGATATAAAATCGGACTAGTTTGTGACGTCATAAAAACAGAAATTGTGAATACACTGCTCTGGAACTATAATATTTTCTTTTAACTTATATTTCTCGTACAATTTATTGAATTCAGCACATTTCAGGAAGTTTTCAAAATTTGACTTTTGTGGGGGCAAACATATGCAATATACCGCATATAGTTCTTAGCTTATATCAGGGATGGGGTCAATTACTTTAAAAAGTAATTAATTAAATTACAATTACTTTGACTTTTTCTTCAATTAAATTACAATTAAATTACAGGCTTCCTAAGACATGTAATTAATTAAATTACAATTACTTTACAAAAGTAATTAATTAAATTACAAATTACATTTTGAATTCTTGAATTTTTTTTTATAATCATATGAATATAAAGGATCATTCACTTGTCTGTAAGCCCTGTCTCTGCACAAACAATACAAATAATATGCTAGTAGGCATAGTGTATCTTTGTGGTTTAAATCATGACTTTTATTTACATGACATTAAAGAACTATTCAAGATCAGTTTGATGCAATTGCCTCCACACAAAACCTACATGTACACAAATTGCATGGGTTATGATATTTGATTAACAGGGTTTTTTTAATAGAGTAAAATAAGTCGCAACTATAACCCCTCAAATTTAATATTTCTTTTAAAGGTAACCTTAACATCCTAAATTGCTTCTTATGTTGAACATTTTTACTTCATATTTATAGAATACTTGTACAAAACATCTCTTTTTCAGATACTAAATTCATTCATACAATTCTGTTTAGATGTTAAAATAATTATCAAATTGAAAGTTTTTCTTTTCTCAAACTAGCTGAGCATTTTTAATTAAAATAATTATCCCCATGCATTGGCTTTGTCATCATAATCATGTAATGAATATGTCTTAAGAGGGGTTGATTTAAATGTTTTGATTGCAATTTACAGCTGTGCTCTGTAGGGCAATTATCTCTTAATACCAATAAGATAGAACTTCATTAATGACACACACATTCCTTTTCTTCTTTTTTTTCTTGACACAGACATTCTTATTCTAGGTTGATCAAACAACAGAGATTGAAATGTAATAAATTATGTGTGTTTCATAGCTGTTTATTATTATATATTGTATTTAGATAAACATAAAACAAAAATGTTCAAATTTCATATAATGATTAGAAAGAAACTACATTATAATTATAAAATAATCTGTCTTCTGTATAATTGAAGGACTGAGGATTTGTTTTGCAATAAAATAAAAGACAGCATAACGGGGAGGTCGTGGTGACAATGTATCATGAATGTGTATTATATAAAGTAATTGAATGTAATTGAAAAAGTAATTGAAATTACATGGTATTTTTTCAGTGTAATTAATTAAATTACAATTACAAGTAATTGAAAAAATGTTCAATTACAAATTACATCCAATTACTTCAAAAAATGTAATTAATTACAGTCAATTACAATTACTTTTTTCAATTACCCCATCCCTGGCTTATATCATACCATTGGTGCCATTAACATTCCATATTAGTCTTTATAGAACAGATTTCTTTTCAAGTATCTTCTATGCCCTATACATGTATTGATCAGAAATGCATGGGCAATGCTCCTAGTATGTTTCATAGTACCAATCCAGGTTTCAGATGCTGCATTTGCAGCCAAAGATCTAAATATTAGGTTCATGTTTTCAGAACTGGTCAAAGTTTTTGAAACAGTTTTCATTTTATTTATAAACTTATATTGACAACAATTGTAGGGTTGATACATCTAAGGATGTACAAAAATGGACTTAATTTGGAAGCTGAATCTGGCATATGAATATTTTCTGAATGATGACCAGGTTCAAGGTTTTGGAGCAAGTTCATTTTTATAATTAAAGTAATTATAAGTCCTATATTTTATCAAAACTGCATCCATTGGTGCTTCCTTTAAGGATGCATGCTACTTGCTTTAGATGTTAGATTTGATTTTTTGTTTCAAGATGATCAATTTTTTTGCAACCAATTTATTCATAAGTAACTAGGAGTCCTATGCTGACCTTCCTTGCTTAGAAGAAATAAAGCACTCTATCAGACTTGCTTCAGCTGCTGGATTAAATTGATCTTTTCCATTTTACCATGTCTTTGGAGCAGGTCCATTACCAAGAGAATGTCAGGCCTGTCTAAACCAAAGTTGCATTGATGATGCATCGAAGTATGCATACTTCCAGAGCTGCTTTAGATGCTGGATTTGATCTATATTTTCCAGATGAGTGAACAGGTTAAAGTTTAAGGAACAGGATCATTTAAGTGTACCTTCAAACCCTCTCTGGACCAATCTTACGTGGATAGAGCATCTATAGATTAACTTGCTTCAGGTTTCGGAATTGTTGTATTCCAGATAAATGACTAGGTTGATATTTTGAAGCAGTCTCATTTAATATAACTTTAAGCACTATCTCGACCAAACTTTGAAAAATACAGTGAAACTCAGTTATAACGAAGTCACCTGGACCTATGAAATTACTTCGTTGTAACTGTAATTCGTTATATCCGTAGAAGGAATTCATTTAATTTATACAGCTGGGGATCCATGATAACTTCACTATAATCGTGAATTTGCAATATCCGTGTTTGTACTAAACGAGTTTTACTGTAATATATTTGGGGATCATGCCACCAGACTTGCTTGGGATGTGGGATATGACCTATATTTCTGGATGAATTACCAAGTTAAAGGTTTTGGAGCAGGTGCAGTCCAGTTTATGTTAGAGGGGCTGGGGGATGTGGTCATTTTCAGACTATTTTGTAATAAGTTAAATCTGGTGGGTAATTTGTTGACCCCCAGCCTCCTTCAGCCATTCATAGAGCTAACTTTCATTTAATATATGTATGTGAGTGATGAAAGACCTATCAACAAACATTTTCAATGTAGAAAGGTTATGTATGGAAAAAAGTGGGAGGTCCACTTCATGTTACAATTGCCTGAGTTATGTATGAAAAATACTGTATCAATCAAGTCTTGCAATCAAAATTGTTAGCTCACCTGAGCCTTAAGTGAGCTTTTCTGCTCAAAATTTGTCTGTTGTTTGTAGTTGCCATAATATTGTCATCGTTAACTTTTCACAATTTCATCGTCTCCAGAACCACTGGGCAAATTGAAACCAAACTTTGCACAGAGTATCCTTGGGTGAAGGGAATCAATGTTTGTTCAAATGAAGGTCCACACCCTCCTCCATGGAGAGCTAATTACAAATTAGGGAAAAATTCATGATATCTTTTAAAAATCTTCTTCTGAAGAACCAATGGGCCAGGAAAGGTGAAACTTATGTGGAATCATTGTCAGATAGTGCAGATTCAAGTTTGTTCAAATCATGTTCCCAGGGGTTAGGGTAGGGCCACAATGAAGGATCAAAGTTTTACATATGAAATATATAGGAAAAATCTTAGAGAGGAGAAAATGAAAGACTTAATTATCAGTCTACCATTAAATTAATTGATTATGTACCTCTTTCAGTATGTGTTGTAACTGAGGTTTCAATAACAGATTTGTTTTTGCATTACAGAGAACTTTTGATGCGTTGGACCATATTGCATTTGTCTAACAAGAAAGTGCAGCAACTTCATGGACTCTACAGAGACTAAGGAGAGGTTGTTCATCAGCGAGTCACAGCATGGTAAACAAGTCTCCAGCTCTCTGGAGAGGCATACGTTCCAGACAAACAACATGATGTCCACTTCTGAGGCCCGGACCACTACAGATGGGGTACCACCAAATGTGTTACCTCACGGAATCCTCCCAGCTGTCCCATCACAACAGTATCACTCACACGTCACAGCAAAGTACAACAGAGGGAGTAACAAAAGCCAGTCTTCCAGCTCCAGCCTGCAGCAGAACAGCAGTGGTCAGCAGACGTTCCTCCACCAGACAGACAGCGGCTATTTTAATGGGGAAAGGTACAACACTAAGGGAAAGGAAATAGCAACTGCTCAGATCATTGGAGGAGAAACCATCCATATGTCTGGTAAGTCATGTACCCGAGCTAACTACTGTAAACCAACTTTTATTCGCGTGCGAGAAATTTTCGTGAAGTTCGCGAGAGCCTCGTCATCGCGAATATTTCTCGCCGCTAGCCAGTCCTTAAAGTCTCTATGTCTATTAACAGCAGATCAAAATAGGCTTGATCGCGAAATTTAATCGTCGTGAACTAGTTTACGGTTCCAGGTAAATCGCGAAATAAAGTCGTCGCAAATAAAAGTTGGTTTACAGTATATCTCAACCTCACAAAATAATAAGTTTTATTATAAAACAATATCTTGTATAAATTTATTCTTCAAACTGTGTGAACTAAAAGCACTTGTCTTGATCATACATGTATCTGCACTCTGTATATGCAATGAAATAGCTTTCATATAAACTTTTGTTAATTTAAGTTGAGCCAATTAACTTCACTGTCTGAAAATTTTTCAGTAAAGATCTAATATTGCAGACATAAACTACAGAACTATTTTACTTAAAATGCAGTTAATTTTATGCATGTTTTATTGATTTGTTATGTTATTGATAAATACAACAAACACTTAGAACAAGATTTTGTCTAGACTTCCTGTCCTGACAACAACTAAATGTAATTCACAAGTTAAAAATGCTCACAAGTGACATTGTCAAGATCAAATAGAAACCAAGAATAAGTTTTTGAATGTAGGTCAACCTCCAGGGTCAAGGTCAAAGGATCAAAGTTATTGGTATCCAAGGTCTTGTCTCAAAGATTAAATATGTGAAGTATACATGTGAAAGCCTTACTGTTCAAAAGTTATTGCAGAGGTTAAAGTTTTTTGAAAGTGCGTAAATCTCCAAGGTCAGGTCAAAAGGTCAAAGTTATTGGGTCTAATTAAAGATGTTGACATAAAGAATATATATATGAAATGTGAAAGTCCTGGTATCTACCGTTCAAAAGTTATGACGAAAGTAAAAGTTTGGAATTTATGTGTAAAAGTGTGTTAAACTCCAAGGTCAAGGTCAAATTTGGTGATACCCAAAGGAGGGTCTTGTCACAATGAATACACATCTGAAATATGATTGTCATAGCTCCACTAAATCAAAAGATTTGGGCAAGGTTTTTGCTGACAAAGAGACAAAAGACAGACAGATTGGCATGACAAAAACTATATACCTCCGAATCTTTAATTACGGAGGCATAAAAAATATGACATCTTTATTGTTACTGTTTTTTTCATTACAAGGAGAGATAATCAATAAATGACAAAAATACAGTGGGTCATTTAAAAATCTTCTTCTCAATAAGCACTCAGCCAGAAAAACTGAAATTTACGAGTAAGCATCCGGGGGTAGTGTAGATTCTAAATTATTCAAATCATGACCCCTGGGGGTAGGGCAAGGCTGAAATAATTTCTGCTTTTTGCTGGCCAAGGAGCAGACACATTTAATAATGTGAAAGTAGATAGAATAAGTAATTAGTACAAATAAAAATTCAGTATTTGAGTTCACTACAGTATTCATTCTGAGTATTCATACCATATAAATGACAATTTTTTTCAATCATTATAGAGCATTTCTATTAAATTATAGGAAACGGCTTCCACAGACAGAGAGTACATCAGGTGGAGATGATTAATGAAGGGGACAAGTGCTCCTGCTGTCCCTATGGTTACCATGTGGACTTAGATTTTGTAGCATACTGTGAAAATTTGGCTGATGGATCAGATCTGACAAAATTAAAAAGAATTCAGAGAGAGAAACGCAAGCTAAGGAAGTCCATGGAGTTCTTCTTACAGCAACAAGAGAATGAAGAACAATCGAATCCCCCACCAGATCTTGTACAAAATATCAATGTGCAGGCAACTGCATTCCTAAAAAGTATTGAATACAAGGACTCAGCAACTAACAAAGTGTTAGATGAAATAGATTCCTCAGTGGACCAAACTTTACATTCCATAGATTCTATGATTTATTCCACTGAAGCACATTCCCAGTTAATTAACCGTAATGATGAAACAAGTTCCTCAACCAATCAACACTTCAACACATTTCCAATGTCCAATACCTATAGAGGTCAAAATGTTGAGGATGAAATGACCTTTCAGAATTACTCCTTGGGAAGGTCAGATTCTAAAGAGTCCCTGTCTTCCATAGGTACAATGGCCAGTGATACTTACAATCTGGTGCCTGTTAAAGTTACTGGTTTTGCCCAAATGAGTGATGGTAAAAGTTCCTCTGAAGAAATTTCCACAGTAACCCACATCACAACAGAGGAACTAGAGTACACAATGGCTACCCATCTTCCTTCAGAGGAGTCTTCTATGACAAGTATCAGTAAATCCTCCATTGAAAGCATCAGAAAAACCATGGAAAGCAGTCTTCAGAGGATAAAAGAGTTGGAAGAACAGGTGAAGGCCATACCAGTGCTGCAAGTCCGAATATCTGTGCTGAAGGAAGAAAAGAGACTTCTTATGCTTCAACAAAAGGCTAGGAATCAAAAACTGAATACAAGAACAATTGGAGTAGGAGATAACCATGTGATTCCACCACCCAGTCCAAAATCACCACCACTTAATACCTCCAAACCAAAAGTCAAGAGTGTAGGGGTGGGAGATCATAGTATCACTAAAGTTTATCTTCTGCAGCCAGATTTATCTCCAACATGCACAATTTCTGATGAGAAAATGTTTAGTGAGACAAATTATATAGAACATGGTCACTACCAAGGAGTGTTTGCTCCATTTGCTAAACAGCCATCTAAACCTCCAACCAGATCAGTGGGTATTGGTGATGGCAGTGTGTTTGAAGATGGCTTGAAAATCCATGAAAAAGAATTAAGAACAGTCATTATTGGGAAAGAGAGTGTGGGAAGGAGAAATGTTGGAGTAGATTGTCGTGTACCTACTAGAGATGTTGGTATGACCTTCTCACTAGATGATGAAAAACCAACAACAAGGTCTGTTGGTGTCAATGTGGACTCTGAAGCATGGCTAACTTCCATAAATATTAAAGCAGCAGAGGTGAGAAAGGCAATGCAGGAAGCTCTACATAGAAGTGTTAGAACAGTTGGAGTGAGTTGTGATTTCAAAGCAGAGAAAGTAGACACTGGAGTTCAATACACTTACCAGTATCTCAGGTCCATTGGAGTAGGAGACAGTCCTGTAGAAAAACCTCCGATTCCAACACGCTCCATTGGAGTTGATGCCCAATGTTTGATGATGTCCAAAGCAGTGAACACAGATTATGGATGGAAAGTAGATTCTGGAACTAACACTGTAAGGTTCTTCACAGAAAATAAAGCAATCCAGTATGAAAAAAATTTTCAAGGAACCAAGAGCACTATGACTGAAGGTATGAGAACTTACCATGATACCACACAAACTGAGCACCGCATGTTTCTGGCCCTGGACATGGTGAGAAACACTGGCAGTAATACAGAGGAGAAGAAAAAGAAAACTGTATCCTGTAGTACAGATATCAGTGAGCTGACAAACTCAGACTATGGATTTTACATCACCTACCGGGGTCGCAATGTTAATTCTTATGATGCAGGCTGTAACACGGAGAAAAAGAAAATGTGCACCATTGGAGTCGGAGATGGAAAGGTTGAGTTTGAGGATGAACCAACGATGGAAGAGACAACAGAAGAGGTAACTTATGTTACCCAGACCCTGATAGAGTCGGTACAAAAGAACTTAGAACAGAGCAAACAAATCACACATACATATGACCTTTCAGCAGAAACAGACAAAAGTTCTCTGACAAAGGCATTGCTGGAGAAAGGGGTGGTAGAACTTCCTCAGTCCTCTGTTATCATTCAAGAAAAAACTTGTTCAGAGAGCTCAGAAGATGTTAAAACTGAGGAAACTCCTCGGTCATTTGGATCCATGTTTGAAGATGGTACTATGAGTTCTGAAAGACACGAGTCAAGAACATTACATTCCAGTGCCAGATATGGGACTGTGACGGATAATGCACTTTCTATCTTGGGAGACAGAACTAATGCTGCCCTTTACTCTAAGGAAGGTAGTTCAGACCTGTCAAGATTTGATGTAAATGAGAGGTTAGTCGATCAAAGAAGCAGTGGGAAGTCTGTAGATCAGTCGGGGCTCGAGTCTGTTGTGGAAAAAAAAATTACTAGTAAGGGGGGAAATACATACATTACAACAATTACCACAAAGAAAAGTGCAGATGGGATGGACAAGACTGTGTTGGATAGGGGAGAGAGTGCTAGGATGTTTACTGGAAGAGCCTCAGGTCAATCTGACAATTCCTCTGCTAGCCAGGTGTACTCAGTCTCTCACTCGACTGTTCCTTACATTGATGACCATTCAGAATCATCTGTAACAAGCAGTTTTATCAGAGAGCAGACAAGTAAAAGCCAGGATGATGACTTTCGTGTGGCTTCATCTGAGGATACATCCTCTGGAGTGGAGACCAGTAATGAAGATCAGGAGGAGATTCATGTCATAACGGAGACTTACTCGCTGAGGGATATCGGGGGACTCAGCTACTATGAAAAGTACATCAAGCCTGCTGGTGTGAAAACAGAGGTGGATGCTGCTGGCAGACAGAACAGTTCAGATCAGATGTCTTTCGATAGAATGAACACCAGATCTCTCAAGTCCTGCATTAAGAAAAACAAGTCTGATAATGGGGTCAAGAGGGGAATTACCTTTGCTGAGACAGTAACAGGAGGGTAAGTTTGGCATTATTTGCTGCATTTTTAAACTCCTCTGAGCTGAAAGCTAAAGTTATCAGGGAAGCTTGTCTGATCACATTTTGTCTGGCGTCTCTCCATCTGTAAACTCTGAATAATTTGGACTTCTCATGACCACTTGGCCAATGGAAAGATTTAATTCAAATGTAGTGCAACACACCCTTTTTCAAGGGGAAATAACAAGGTTCATACTGACCATGAGATGGGCTTGAATTTTGATCCAGTGCTTGAAAATCTGTACAGCAAAAAGTCATTAAATGCTGTTCAAATTTATTCACAGTAATTTGTGTTTAAGGTCAGATAACATGTTCCTCAAAAATATATAATTTTTCTTAAGAATTTGTCATTGAAGAATGTACTTGAACAAGATTCCTCACAAAAAATTAGGGTACTATACCAGGCATTTGGACAAGATACCACAGGGGCATTTTTCTTATATAACCCTCATGGGTAATGAACTGAATGGCCTTTATCAACATTTTTGGAATACTTTTATTTAAAAACATTTTAAAACCAATGTAGAAATCGGAAGAGAATGACAAATATGAATAATTTTTAGATAATGCCAAGAGATACAAAACATATATTTGAGGAATGTGTCGTCTGACCTAAATTCAAATGAAACTCTCCATATGAACAGGGCATTAAGGCCAAAAATAAAAATAGTCTTGTTTCCTGCTACCCGACCTACCCTATTTTTTTGCTCCCGACCCTAAAGTTTTTTTTAGCTTTTGGGGAAAAAAAATGAAAATTGCAGGAATTTTATGATCCAGAAGTGAAAAAAAGTATACATTCAAATTCTATTTCATGAAATATATGTTTAAAATATGTTCTTTTGTAAAATTCCACTTGAGTTGTGCATCAAAAGACATGAAATTTCTTTTCAAAAGATAATATTGACCTAGCTATGACATGTTTTATTTGGTTTTATAGTAGTTCATATCCAAAAAATACCTTTGGAAAAAATAAAATAAATTTAAAAAATAAAATAATTTTCCTACCTACCGACCCTATTTTTTTCAGGCTGGTAGCAGGAAACAAGACTATTATTTTTTTTGGCCTAAATGCAAGTATCCTTAAGTAATTTTTCATGCAACATGTTTGCTCCACAGGGGTAGGATGGGGCCAATTAAGGGATCAGAATTTTTCTTTGAAATATACGGTATATAGGAAATTAAAGAAAGGAGTAGTGGAAACACATTAAATCTTAAGGTCATTGTTGTGGCCCATGGGCCTCTAGCTGTTTGTCTATATATCTGTCTGTATTGGGAATGCATTGGTGTGTGCATGCTTGCTTGCTGATATTAATTCATGCACTTTCTTGCCTTATTCTGAGTAGTTACACTTCTAGCAGTAATGGGGAAGAGAGTTCTGAGAATGGGTCTGATTCGGAGTCGACCACGAGTTACGAGGAGGGATCCTATGACGGTAGAGAGGGCAGCATTGTGTATCAGTGTAAAGATGATGTTACAATAGCATCAGGGGCTCCCGGTGCAATGATGTTTGATCAGAATATAAGGGAAATGTAGGTGACTTATAGCATCTCAGCATGATAAAAAAATATCAATTAGTGTTTACTACATTTTCCACGATACAAACTTCAAATTTTCCCCTACATAAAACTTTAAAGTGTCATTTTTGCAAGTGATCTACAGTGAAAATATTGATAAAATAATATTTATTTTGTAAAGATGTAAAATTAAGAGCTAGGCACTTGATTTTCTTTCTTTTCACAAAATATTGAGTGTTACAAAGGAAAAACTCCCTATTGATAACAAATTTAGGTAAATAAAACCATACTGACATGGACTAAATCTGCCGAAATGTCTCCAAATTGTAAATATTCTTCTATCTCACAACCATTCAGTTCTGACTTAATAGTCTGTCAAACTACATCAAGGGAAAGATTGGAGCAAGGGGAATCTTAAAACAAAGAGAATGTAATAAATAAAAGGTTAAAGTTTGATTCTGTGAATGAGATGGTGGTGGTAGTATAAAAATGATGAAGTTGAACATAAGTACTGTAAAACTTGCTGAAATCGCTGCACTTTCAGCCAACTATACAAATTACAGTCTTTGGGGCATGTTTAGGGATTTGGAGCAGGTTTATTCTGTAGCAACTATAAGCCGTAAGTTGACCAAACTTGCATTGGTGATTATATTTAAGGATGCACACTACTTGAATTAGATATTGGATTGGAATTGCATTTTCTAGAAGAGTGACCAGTTACAACTGCACATACTAGTAGTCGATCTTCTTATTTGCAGTTTTGAACTGGAGCCAGAGATGAGAGAGTCCTGTCAAATTCTTGCCAAGTATTTAGAAGATTCCACTGAGGTCACAACAAAACAACTGGTAAGTCATACATAGAGTAAATGTTACTTTTAGAGCAAAACATAAGGATACCTACAATTTGACTGCAGGGAAACTGTCATCTCCATTGTCCCAGCTTTTACTAAAATCAGAGGATAATTTTTGATTGTCTGTTAGTCTTTCTGTGTGTAATATTCTAGTTTCCAACAGGACAACACTTCATAAAAATTTTCAGTCTTTCATATCATAACTCTATACAACATAAACAAGGCCATATTGATGCTCGTAAAGATGAAAATGGTTTTCGGGTGATTATTTTTGTTCCTTGACTCACTGAGCTTTTGCAATATTTCATTCCATGGTGTAACTCCATATAATTTAATGGGGTCAAGGGAACTATATTGTTTACGTTACATAATGCCAATCTAAGTAAAAAGAAATATATTTTAATTAGTGATATCAATTTTACTATTAAATAGCAAATTTTTAATGAATAACAGACTAAAAAAATTTAGTCAATAGTCTGTATGACCAAACGATAGTCAAGTACTCAAATATTCAGTGACGTCCCTATTGCCTTATATTTTTGTTTGGTTTGAACATATTTTATTGTTAAGATGTTATAACAAAAGGATTGGACACAAGTACTTAATACTTAGAACGTCCTCTCCTTGATATTTTTGTTAAATTCTATATTACAATAACCTAATTTGTTTGTAAAATTTTTTATCCTGAGTAAGAATTAAAAAATTCATCAATTCAACCATAAAATAGATTTATTCATTGATTGTTCTATTTATTACTGGAAAAGTAAGAAAAGATTGTCTTCATTTTTTACAGAATGCCAGTGTTGAAACAATTAAAAAACATTGGTTTAAGGCCTCCAGTCACAAGCTGTCAGACCCCAATCAAGTGGAAGACTTCCTCTCCAGCTTCAATGAAATCTCCAAGGCCTGTCTCCAGTATATTGTGAATCTACAGGACGATAATGTAAGAAATATCTTATTGGGAAGCTCCTATTAATACTGCAGATACAGGTAGCTTAATAAAGACCTTTGGGACTCTTGTCTTAGTTTCCAGTGCATTGTCATAAGTAATACCTGTAGAACTCTCTTGTCTGAGACTTCTGGTAAAGTTTAACATGCCTTCCACCATCAATTTATTTTGCTTTATTCTTAAATGATGAAGTTGCCATTACATGGACACTGGAGTTGTTACAGTATTATATTAAGTGACCTTATAAAGTCTTTGGGCCTCTAGTTCTGTAAAAGGATATTTTTCTTTCAATTTATGATAATGTCCTAGAAGATGTATGAGATAACAATAGTCTGAAATTCAAATTCTCCCAGGTTTATGTATAAAAATGAGACCTGTTAATATGGTATGTTGTTTTAGGGTAATACAGCCATACACTATGCAGTGTCCCACAGTAACTACGACATAGTGAGTTTACTGCTGGATACAGGTGCCATTGATCTGAACAAACAGAACAAAGCAGGGTACACTGCCACCATGCTGGCCACATTGGCTTACCCACAGACAGACAGACAACAGGATGTTATCCAGAGACTGTTTTCAATGGGAGATGTCAATGCCAAGGCTTCCAAGGTAATATGAGATGAAGAGCATGCTTGAATAATAATTCTTTCAGTCTCTTATTTCTGTATTATGGCATCCAAGATACTTTAATATGGAATGGAAAGCATGTTTGAGTAATAATGCATCCATTGTCTGTAGTCTGTATCATGGTTTAGTGTTTTCTGTGTACCAATCTGTTTGCATTATGCATTTTTGTTTTCAAATCATAAACATTTTAAGATCTTAAATTATCAAACCTTATTATCTGATGAACAGTGGGTGAATTGGTTCATATTTATTGACAAAGAGTCAAAGGATCAGACTTAAGTTCAGAACTTAGATAATTGTCTTCTTTAACAGAATTTTGTAACTTTTCAAAATAAAAATACACAAACATATGTTATCTGATATATGTCATAATAAGGCGTGTCATCTGAAAGAAAGAGAGACTGTTTTAGCTCACCTGATCTACAACTCAAGTGAGCCTTTCTCTTTATCCAGCATAGTTTTCACACAGCTTATTGATTTATTTTGTATACAAGCCCAGATTTTCAGATCCAGGTCGGAATAAAGTGATCATTGTGTGAGAAAGTCTTTTTCCTCTTGTTGAGTTTATTGCAGTGCCCAATGCAATCTGATCATGAATATGGATACTTTTAACAGCACAAGTTTTACAACCCTGTGTTTCTTAGGATGGACAGACAGCGCTCATGTTAGCTGTTAGCCAGGGTAGGAAGGAGATGGTACAGATGCTGTTAGATGTAGGTGCTAATGTGAACGCTCAAGACAATGAAGGCTCCACGGCGGTGATGTGTGCATGTGAACATGGTCATACAGAAATTGTCAAAATTCTGCTGGCTCACCCCGATTGTGATGCCACTATAGCTGATAATGTAAGAGTTACTCATATCACTTAATGGGATATAATACATGTATCCCTATCATACTTCCTATGTTCAATTTGTCAGTCAATTGATCTTCAACTTCACCAGCTATGTCACATTATGACACAAATTGTATGCTTCTTATATCTTAACAAAATTGCCTCAAAACATCCTTGATTATGTTTAAATATACATAATAATATAAAGACAACCTTTCTAACTTTGTCACCCTAAACTTAAATTTGACCTTTGACAACGTTTTACAAATGTTTCACTTGAAAATTCAGAATTTTGTTTAAAAAATGTTAAGTAACTTACAGATATTGATGTTTTTGATATGTTATAAGCATCTTACTATAGGAATTTAAAATCAGGTAAGGTTTTGCTTATCGTAGTTTTTCAATTTTTTTCCAATGAAAAACATTAAAATTGATATCTGTAAGAATAACTTTATATATTTATTAAAAATTGCAACTCATTATAACTAAATAAGATTAATTTTCATATGTTGAAATGCAAATGAATTCTTTTTAAATATAAGTTTGAAAATTTGCCTCTTGGTGGGGCTTGAAAAAAAATTCTGTGGGAGGGGTAAAATGTGTGTCTTAAGATATCTTTGAAAAATTTGATTTAAGAATTAGAAAAAAATCCTTCAAAGACATAAAATAGGTTTTTATTAAAAACTCGAGAGTGAAATTCAGTCGTTTTGTCTTTGTACATATATCTACATTCCAGTGCATCCCTCAGATCTTAGTTTCAAAGTTTTCAGCAATTATATTATAAAAATTATTTTTTTAAACATCTCAAAGTTCCCTTTAAATTGGTCAAGTATGGCTGCCATCAGAAAACAAGCAGTATTTATAACATAATCAATAATCCACAAAAATTGATCTTTTATGGTAGCTTGAATCATATTTACTTAATTGCATGTAAAATATTTATCACAGCATGTGTCTAATTTTTTACATTTGGGCATACCAAGCAGGTATATGTTGGATGCAATTTTCACCTCCCACTTCTTTTTTTTTTAGCTCACCTCAACGAATTTGGGGGAGCATATATAATACCACCAGCACCAGTGTTGGTGCCGGCGTCAGTATCCCAGATTAAGGTTTTTAGAGCAGTTTTCTTTTTAAAGTAATACATGCTATACGAATGCCAATTTTTGTGTGAAACAAAATGATTAAGTTATTTAAAACACATGAAGTGTAATGAAAAATACTTTCCACAAAATTTACTATAGAAGTCGTTGTAATAACAAAACAATTAAGCAATATCTACAATTAAAATTCGGTCTTTTCATGAATATTGATGAAGGAAGTGCATAACAAGTAGGCCTATATATAGACACGCATGTCCACAGGAAATCATAGACAATGAGGTATGTTGCATTTTGACAATGATCATTAATAAAAGACTAATATACATCATAACAGAGTAGATGGTTGATACTGATTACATTAAAATATAATAATTATTAAGAGTAAGACGCTTGCCATCCACGTCAAAAGTGAGTTGTATCTCAGACGGCCTACCTAATATTCTTGACGCCATGATTATTTATCAATCTAAAAGTAGCGACGGCGTCGCGTGATGGATTTATTTAAAAATAGCCATATCTCTCCTGCTAGGATTATAAATACCAATTATAATTTGATAACTACAACGCGTTCAATTTTACTGGTGTAATTTACAGTATTTTCTTAACTTTTATTGGTAAACAAAATATATAAATTTCCAGCCTTATTTAAATTGGCACAAGTTATAGCATGTATTACTTTAAGTACTTCTATGCCCTATATTGATCAGACATGCATGGAAGATGCTTCTATTGTGTTTCAATGTACAAGATATGGTTTTAGATGCTGCAATTTAAGCAAAGGAATGACCAGGTTAATGTTTTTGGAGCAGGTTAATATTTTTGGTGCAGGTTAAAGTTTTGGAAGCAGGTCTCTTTCTCAAGTAACAATAAGCCCTAGGTTGACCAAACTTGCATGGATGATACATCTAAGGATGCATACAACCAGGCTTGCTTCAGATGTTGGATCTGACCTACATTTTAGGGATGAATTAACAGGTTAAAGGTTTTGGAGCAGGTTTCATTTCTAAGTAAGTTTGAGTCCTATCTTGTCCAAACTTGCATGGATGACACATCTAAGGATGCATACTGATCGACTTGCTGCAGATGCTGACCCACATTTTCCAGATGAGTGAACAGAATAAAAAAATTTGGAGCAGGTTCTTTCAAAAATAGGTATATAAGCCCTATTTTGAGCAATCTTGCATGGATTAGGCATCATGGGATGAATACTTTTAAACTTTCTTCAGATGCTGGATTTGAATTACATTTTCTTGATGGGTGACTAGTTTCAAGTTTTTCGATAAGTCTATTCCTAAGTAACTATCAGATCAAAATTGCAGAAATTTTGTATTTTAATGTTGGACTTTGCCTTACTTAAAGACAACATTCATTGAGGTGAGCTCTGTTTAATAGCACCGATTTTCTATGTTTTTAAATTCGTTAAAATTTCCTTTTTAGAACAAATTGAACCCCTTCTCCTGCTGTTCTTTTTGTTTTTTTATTTTTTTGAAATAATGAAATCCAAGGATAAAAAAATATATCAAAATTTTGTCCATACATGTATATACAGAAATTTTGGCATCAATTAATGGAAGGGGTAATACCCCCAACACCCCCAGGAACAAGGTGATGGTCCTGCACAAAACTGAAGAAATTCAGCACTATTAAGACAGCATTCAGTATACCCGGTATATAAAGGATTTCCCATGATTTGTGACTTGTAATAATTTTAATCCAAGTTGTTTGTTTTGTATCATGGAGTCATTGACAAAGAGATAGAAAACACATACAAGTGGAATGACAATCATATTCAATCACAATACAAAGGAGATCCTTTTTATCACATGTTTCTATAGAATTCTATTGTTTCAAAAATTGTTTTTTATCAGGACCCTTTTGTTTTTCTAATCAGAATCTATGTTGTATAACATATCATCAATATTATACTGTGTTAAGGTGTTGTTTATAGAAAAAAGTAATTTCAGGAAGATTTGTAGATAATGGTTAGAGGGGGATGTATATAAACATGTGATAGAGCTGTATATTATGCCATTTTATGTTGTATATGCATGATGTTGTATTCCTGTAGGAAAACTGCACTCCTCTGAAAATAGCCATGGATGCAGGCCATAAAGATATTGGGGTCCTGTTGTATGCTCATCTCAATTTCAAACAAACACAAGTGAATCTTGTAAGTCATGTTATTACTAAGAGTCATGACATTTCTGTGGAGTTTATGTCATGTTACAAAGATTGTTCAAATTAATTTGAGCTTGCATTTCTTTATTGCTTTTACTAGTACTTGTGAATGCTGTTTATTATTTTTCACATTATTTTTATTTCTGTATACATTGTTTATACAACTGAAAATAGCATTCTTTGGAAAACACATTATATATTTGGACTGTATGTATTTCTCTATAATCTAAACACAAATCGTGTCATTTTTCTAATTTACGGATACTCTTCCAAAATTGTAAATATTTAAAATTATTTTTCTTTATTTTGAATAGAGTAAAACCTTTGATCTAAAATGTAAAAATATATTTGATAGAACTGTAACTTACATGAAAATTTATAAAGCACTGGTTGTATCTTTTAGAATAAAGTTTTGTGTGTGTGTTTGTATATTTCAAGAAATAACATATGTTGCATATACTGTAGACATATTTAATTATGTTGGAAAAAAATCCTTGTTCTTTTGGATTGAAAATGCATGATTTCATGTGGATTAATTTTCATTACTTTTCGTTAATTTCAAATGAAAATTCCTAAGATTTTGTATATCACGTAAATAATGAAATAACAGTGTCAACCGTAGGTGGCAGTTTTTTTTTTTAACTAATTTTACAATTGTTCAAACATTGTTATGGCAATGAAACATGAGTTCACTATTTCAAACCAGTAAGAAAAAAAACACACAAACAAACATAGCTAATTAAACATAGCAGAAGGCCTGTAGTTACCAAAAAAAACAAAAGCACAAAGAAGGTTCTTTATTGCATTTTCTTCTCATGTGATGGTATAGCCACACAAATTCTGGTGCCAAACGGCAGCAGTGTTACAGGTCTGTATAACCAAGTTGATATTCTAAAATAAGTTTTAAAAATCTCATCTCATCATGTTTTCAGATTTAGACATTGAGCTAGGCTTAAAAATGCTCTATGTCTTGTATCTTGGTAACTTGCAAAGCAATTTATGAAGTTAGGAAGGTTAATCCACCTTAGCCTCCACACTAGAGAGAGAGAGTACCAGTAAAATAATTATGGAACACAGTCTCTCTTTGTATGAAAAATTAAAGTAATGTGTTTGAATTCATTTTGTTGCTTTCTCCAAAATACATAAATAACTATACAACAACAACAAAAAATGTCTATAGTATATATGAAGCAAAATGTCTACAGTATATGTGAAGCAGCTCCTTAATTTATTTCAGGATTTTTTTCATAATACTAATTGTTATAGCTCTACTGAGCCAAAGACTCAAAGAGTTAAAGGTACTTGGACACAGATTTTAAGTTATTATTTTTTCTATAATATTACGACTTATATATTTTAAAAGCATTTCACACAAAAATTAATTAAAAATCTTATTTCGTTTAAAAGATACTGAAATTTCAAATTTTTCGGCGGGTTTGATTGACATATCCTTGCACTCTCACAAATTTAATTTTATTCTTAATCCTTAGGAAAAGTGGCAATCTCGTTTTATATAAATGAAAAATATTAATACTATAATCCAGAAAATTCAGAGTAGACACGTTCGAAAGCAAAACAAACACACAATATATTGTCAGTCCGTGCAGTTGTGGTAAGCAGACTGTGAACGATTGAACGCACCCGGTGAATTCTAAATATAAACAATAACAGAACTCGAGCCCTGTTTACAAAAACTATGTACATAACACGAGTGTGCTCGATTTGCTAAACTCTGTACGCATCTCTTAGTTCGGAATGACGATACTTGTGAAGGTGTTTTGCTTTCTAACATTTCTACTCTGAATAAAATTATTTTTCTTGATAAAAGTTTTAATATTTCTCATTAAAACACATCAAAATTGCCACTTTTCCTAAGGATTAAGAATAAAGTTAAAATTTGTGAAAGTGCAAGGATGTGTCAATCAAACCCACCAAAAAATTTAAAGTTTTAATAACTTTTAAATGAAATAAGATTTTTAATTAATTTTTGTGTGAAATGCTATTAAAATATATAATTCGTGATATTATACAGAAAAAATGAGAAAATATTAACTTCAAATCTGTGTCCAAGTACCTTTAATGCTATGACCATTTGTGTGATGTGCATAAACTTTAATTTTGGAATGTAGACTGTATTTCAAGAACCCAGTAATAGTCATTTTTCATCGAAATTGTCACAGAATATCCATGGCCAAAGGGCTTTAATTTGTACATATACATTGTATTTTGGGGGCTTACAACCATCAAGCCCTATAAGTTGATACATCTCGAGGCCTTTAAATATATATAATTATATATTTATGAAAATGTAGGTCTGTGACCTACTTTTTTTAATTTTCCAGATATATACATTTTTGGTTTGTTTGAGATACATATTTTGGACTTTGTAAATTCTAAGATCATAAAAACATTGTCTGTTGATGGATCCTTATGACTTGATTATATCAACCAAAAAGTAGGTCACAATGTCCTTTTTTTAGTATTTCATATACCATATTTCATATATATTTAAATTTTTCAGATTATAAGTGGCTTGGAATCATCAAACATTGTCACTTGATTCATCTTGGTTCTTTGGAGATTGTCAAGCAAAAAAATAGGTCATTTTGACCTTATTTTAATATTTCATGGCTCTATTTTAATATTTCTGCCAACAAAATGCTTTAGTTCAAATCATCAAACTATGGCAGTCGATGCCTCTTGAATGCTAGGAGTATTTCAACCAAAATTTATGTTACCATGATCTACTTGTAATATTTCTCAGTTATATTTTAATATTTCAAAAACAAAAACAGACTTAGAAATATCATTTTTGGCAGTTGTTGTCTTAGGTACTAACAAGCTAAGTCAGAGAATATGTGTCCCCCGCTTAAGAACGAGGAAGAGCATTTGTGGATTGGATCTAGAGGGGAAGAGTCAGAGGGTGATGGGGTTTGGAGACAGGACGCTTTAAATGGGGAGGGCAGGGCCATAGGAGTTATGTTATAAAATATTTTATTGCAAAAGCTTCTTAAGATATCACTCAGAAATGAAAGTTTTGCACACAAACAGAATGTTAAATTTTTTACCTTTTGACCTCAAAAGCGATAGGGGTCTTCTTTAGGCCATAGGGAGTTGTTATATAAAATTTCATTGCAAAAGCTTATTTAAGGCTTAAGATATCAAATGTTAAATATCAAATGAAAATTGTATAAAGCAGAATTTATGACCTTGACTTGCTGACCTCAAAATCAATAGGGGTTTTCTTTAGGCCATAGGGAGTTGTTATATAAAATTTCACCCAAAATGCAAAAAGGCTTTTTGAGATATTATGTGGAAACCAAAGTGTTGTAACAGACAGAAAGAGGGATGGACAGACAGACAAAAATTAATAATAATCTGAAAGCAGGGGACAATTAGATCAGGAGACCAACTTATCAAGAAAGGCTCTATCTGAATAATTTGGATAAGAAGAAAATTGGAATCATTCATTTTATTCGTCATTTGATGCATTTTGGGATCTCAGAGTATGTTAATAAAAAAGTAGGTCAAGGTGTCCTAAATTTGAAATTTCAAGACATTATCTAAATGATTATGATTCTAAGAAGCTTAGAGAAGAGTTTTAAGATTGTGCAATTTATCAGGAGAGTGATCAACACCAAACCTATTCATTTTATTCTTACAATCAACTTGTTAAGAATTGACACCTTGATGTTTCAGTACCATGTGACTCTCTTAGACTTGGTTACTGGGCAGTACTGGCATTTTTCATCTAGTCATAGCTTACAGTTTTTAACCTGATTGTATGCATATGTATATTAGAAAAATTAATTATGAAATTTAAACAGGTCATTAAGTCTACCCTAGTGAAATGTTTATTTATAAGAACATTATACGAATTAATTTTTTTTAGGGCCTTGTCAGGAAAAAAGTTTCCAGTACTACCTCACCTTTGCCAAGGTAAATTCTACTTTCTATTCTGTAAATCTGAATCATTGTAATCATTACGATTTCTTCACATTTGAGTCATGTTTGAGTGGAATACGATGCATGTGAAATATGAAAGCCCTAGCTTGATGGCCAACGTTAAAGTTTTACAAAAGTAGGACAAACTCCATGGTCGAAGGGTTAAAAGTAAATGAAACATTTAAGGGGGTACTCTGTGTCACAAAGAGAACACATGTAAAATATGAAAACTTTAGCTTTAAGCTCTATCCATCCAACTACTGTATATACTCGCCTATAAGTCTGTCCGCCTATAAGTCGGTTGTATTTTTTGACGTTATTTTGGAGGGATTTGCTATTGACCCGCTTATAAGTCGGTACAAATTTTTGCCAAAATCTTGTGACAATTTCAAGTAAATCCATTAATGTTTTAACCTGGTTTCAATTAATATTTTTCGAAATGACACTGATATTTAATCTTAAATTATTAAACAAAACGGCAATGCTCGCTTAAAATACAAGTAAAATTATTAAAATATGTAAATACTTGTACTTTATCTATATAATCTAAGAATACATAAATTATCACATATATCCAGACATTTTCTTCGACAATCATTGGAAATGCAAATAAGATGCTACATTTCACCCTCCAGAAAAATACCAATCTCTTTATGATTCGCCTATAAGTCGGACATAGAGTTTTAGACCAATATTTAACTCCCAAAATACCGACTTATAGGCGAGTATATACGGTATAACCCTAAACCTTGAGTTCCAGCTATGGTTAACTTTTTTTTTTCAATAGTAGGTCAAACTCTTAAGTGTAAGGACAAATTAAAGGTTAGAACTGTTGGCATGTAAGGGAAGGTCTTGTCACAAGGAGGGCACATGTGAAATTTGAAAGTTCCAGCATCAACTTTTCAAAACATGGCCAGAGTAGGTCAAAATCCAAGGTTAAGGTTAACGGGTCAAAATAACTGATACTCAAGGAAAGCTCTTGTCACAAGGAATAAATAGATCATAATGATTAGATACTGAAAGGAATATTTTGAAGTCTGCTCCTTGGTACATGTATTGATCAAATTTATGTGCCTTTTCCAAAATTATGAAAATTATGGCCCCAGGGTCAAGGGATCCAGCGAGGGGGGTCAATTTTGCCAATTTTTAATTGATTAGCTGAAATTTTTTTGTATTTCTTCTCTTATATTTTAGAGACTCACCTTAAAATTATTATATACTCCGAATCTTATGTCGATTTTATTGTGTGACCTATGAGTATTCATTAACTAAATTAAGCATTCTAAGTGTATAGTTATAATGAGTAATGATGCCTCTTTCAAAATTGTGAATGTCATATGGCCTCTGGTTAAAAACATGAACCAAATTCGGTTGTTGGAAAGTTGTTAAATGATGCTCAGGAGACCTATAAGGCTCATGAGCCTCTTATTGAATGAAAGTGCATATGATGTTCAAAAGCCACAGTCAAATATGAAAAGTTTTTTTTTTTCAAACAGCTCGGAAGGACATGGGACAAGTATGTGTCCCCTGATCTTTAGCCACTTGGGCATATAAATGCAACTTGAGTGAGCTTTGTGGTCCATGAGCCTTTAATATAAAGAGATGAAAGTTCAATGATCTCTCGAGTGATGGTTTTTCATTTCTTTTGTTTCTTTTAGCCCTACATTCAGGTAGCAGCTCTCCTTGAGATCAACGTATAACAACACATAGAAAGAAAACATCTGGTTCAGATATTGTAGAGAATGTCAGTCAACCAAGTCAGCCCTACAGCCATTGCTCAGGCCTCTTGTGGATGAAACAGGCAGAATACCGTATATACTCGCCTATAAGTCGGTTGTATTTAATAGGCTTATATATCAGAGGGACTGACCTCATATAATACCATTCATATTATAGCTCGCCTATAAGTCAGACATAGAGTTTTGGACAAGAGATTAACTCCCAAAAATCTGACTTATACGCGAGTATATACGGTACACCTTGTAAACACTGGTATCTGGGTGGCTTCTCTTCTGAGTTCAGTTTTGAGGAGTATCATGTATCTTTGTACACCTTTGCACACCTAGCAAATACTCATATCTTTTCGTAAAATGTTTACAGGTATTATATCTGGCTCCAGATCATGAAAGATATTGCAAGATTAAGTCAGAACATTTTTTTTTTGCACTGGAATTATGTTGAAGTTAATGATCTGATATAAAAATGTCATTCTGAATCAGTATTTCTATCTTCATCTAACTTTTATCTGCAAATTTATAATTTCAGTTTACAATTCAGAAACTTCTAACAGATGATATTGACAGTTTGACTTGAGTGCAATCATGATCATGGGGCCTGATATTGGTTTTTATATTTATTTGTTTTTGTACACTAAGTTATAAAGCTTGTAGGCTTATCAGGATAAACTCTTCTGATGAAATAAGTTTTTCTGTGTGTGTTCGTGTATTTTGTTTAATGTATCTTAAGTTATTCCAAGTTGCATTTTGAAGGAACTTCATGGCCCCATGAATAGCAAAGTTTATATCTCACAAAAATAAGATGCTGTTGAAGAAAAAGATCCATGTATATTATCTATAAAAGAAATTAATACAGATATATTGTAGACAACAAATTTTTGTTGGATAACATTTTGTTGATTTGTCACCTAAAATAGATTTGTGGGCATTCAGTTTCATTGTTTTGAAAGGAACCTTATTTAATATATAGTCATATAAAAATTCCGTGTGGGATTAAATTTCTTTGATAATTGTTAACAATGAAATAAGCAAAATTTAATCTAGGAATATTTGTGCTTTTACATTATAAAGAACAAACAATTTTAATCTGTTTTAATATCTTATGTACTGTATTTTTGCAAGTAAAAAATTTAAGGATATATGTATTAAAATTAAAATACATGTACATGTATTAGTAATGCATTCTACCTGACATACTATTCTTATGTTTGTTTATAAATGAGCAATATGACTTAATAAAAATTGTTATGTTATTTAAGATGGGGTTCATGCCTAATAATTTGGCAAACATACAAGTATACTTGTATTTTTTATCCACTACACATTATATACTGTACTCTGTCCATTTCTTTTACTGAACCTTTTGTTTATTCATTTCTATTTTAAAATGAAAAGAATGTTTTATATATTTTACAAGCTATTATAAAATTACGTGTACATATTTTCAAGGTTTGAGGGAAAAAAAAACCCTTGAGTTCGTGGGGATTGAATTCCATAGATGAAGAATTGTTGAGAAGTCATGTATGTAACATTTTATATTATGTGGTGGACTTGAATTCATGGGTTTCTTCATACTGAAAATTACCACCCAACGAAAATTTGTGATTTTGCTGTATCAGCATTGTTTCCTTTCAGAGACTAAAATTATTTTGATTTCCAATGTTGGAATCTAATTTTTTGAGGATCTGTCAATTTATTATTGTTATGATAAACTGAAGCTCTTTGCAGTATGTACGTCATATAAATTTATGTAAAAGAAAAAGTTAAAAAATATAGCAAATATTCTTTTACGGTATTTTAAGGACATATGCAATGTACTTTACCTACTGATAACTTTTCAAAATATTCTTAATTTAAGATTATAGTGTCATCAGATATTCATAGACAAAAAATCAGCAGGCATTACCAGGGGTTTTTGAAAGATAGCAATTGATGAATACTCAGTATTCTTGGGTGATTAAAAGAAAGATATATATAAAATTGCTCAACATATATTATAGATGTCTCTTTTATCCAAAATTGTTTGAGAAGAAGTGTAAAACACCATATAAGACATTAAAATGCAGAATACAGTTCCTCCAAGAATTGGAATTCTTCAACTAGAAAAAGACAAAAAAGTTCAAACTATGTTGCATATGTCCTTAAACGTAAAAAAAATTGCTCTTATTATTATCATCATGGTATTATTAGTTGTTATCTGTCTAAATCCCAAGAGTCTATATCTGTATTTTTGTAAAACTCAAATTATTGGAAAAAATTGTTAAATTCAACCCTCCTCAGACATAATTTTTTTTTTTTTATGGCCTCACATGGAGGGAGGTTGGGGGCAAAAATAAACATATAATTGAAAAGTATTAAACTATTGAAAAAGAAGAAAATGATATACCCCATTTAAATTTTAAACTTTATTGATTTTCTAATAATTGTTTTGATAAATTATATCACTGACTCTGTGAGTCCAGGTATTGCACACTGTATATCATATCTGTTAATGCACCCATACAGATCTCAGGATCAAAACAACTATTGCATTATGTACCGTAATATTTGAATTTCACTATAATGAAAGTGTACTAGACAATTTACACAATAGAAAAGATTCTAAATGCAGTTCATTTATAACATAGACAAATGTAAGGGATTACAATAAAATGACAAATTGAACATTTAAGATTGGTAACGGTTTGTTCTTTGAATTCACTCCATTTTTAATTCGCCCATCCAAGGGTAGGGTGAAAGGGGCAAAAATAAAACGGGGGCGAAAATTTCCCTGTATACAGTATTTACATGTATTTAGCCATCAATATGCTCCCATTTTCAGAAACTTAATGAATGGAGTAATTATGTTATCTTTTTTGAAATATTTTTTGTGCATTATCAAGCCTTCATTTGTTAAGTACATGTATATGAATACATTCCATATTATTGTTTGTATGATCTGGTAATGGAAATTTTAATGGGGTGTTGTAAACAATATTTTTGATAGGCCTTTACAGTACAACTTTTATTATTGCTTTTTATATACACCAGCTTGCTTTTCTCATTAACATGTAGTAGACTGTTATTCATGAAAATAAAATAAGTTTGAAAGGCATCATTTTTTTTATTGTCTTTGCTGTTGGCATATTACATTCTTGCACCTCACCATGAATATTCCTAAACTTCATAAAAATCCATAAAAAGATACATAGCAGGTTCTAGTTAATGTTCTGTCAAGCCTCGTTTTTCACTCATTTAATATTAACAGCAGTTAAGGAGAAAATTCAGGAGTTCTTTACTACAATATACATGTATTCAAGAACGGTGAAAATTGGATGTGGATACAAACAAGAGGCCCAGGGGCCACATTGCTCACCTGAGCAACTGGCTAGGTAAAAGCAAATTATTTCAGTATTGAATGAAAAGTTTAAATACATGTATTATAAAAATAGGTTCTGGGGAGGGGAGGGGGTATTTAAACAAACTTAAATCTACACTTCCTTGAATGCTTTTGTGACACATTATGGTTTTGTTGTTTATAAGATGGAAAATTTTTATTGATATAGCCTGTGTATTCATTTGTCCACTTTATGGCTACTCTATTCTCCTGAATTTCAAATCTACTTTACCTTTTTATATACTTTTAAATTGATGATTAATCATCATGATGGCTTTGTGAAGAATTTTAGCGATTTTTACCATGCATTCCTATGTAAAACCTTGATCACCCATTGTGGCCACACCCTTGCCCAAGGGGTCATGATTTGAACAAAATTAAATCTTCCTGTTCAAAATATGCTTCTGCATGAGTTTCATCTTTCCTGGCCAAGTGAATGTTGAGAAGATTTTGTAAGGTTTTTCCTATGTATTCTTATGTTGAACTTTGATACCACATTGTGGCCCCACCCTACCCCCGGAGGTCATGATTGGACAAACTTGAATCTTCGCTACCTGATGATGAATATGTTAAACTTTGATACCCCATTGTGGCCCTATCCTACCCCCAAGGGTCATGATTGGACAAACTTGAATCTTCGCTACCTGAGGATCATTCCTCATGATTTTAATCTTTCCTGGCCCAGTGGTTAAGAAAGTCGTAATAACGAGATAAAAAGTCGTTATTTGACTTAGGAAAGTCGTAATTACGAGATAAAAAGTCATTATAATGAGATAAAAAGTCGGCATTACAACTTATAAAGTCGTAATAACGAGATAAAAAGTCATTATTACAAGATACTGAGTAAAAAGTCGTTATTACGACTTTAAAAAGTCGTTATTACGAGATAAAAAGTCGCTATTACGACTTATGAAAGTCGTTATTACGACTTAAGGAAGTCGTAATAACGAGATAAAAAGTCGTTATTTGACTTAGGAAAGTCGTAATAACAAGATAAAAAGTCATTATTATAAGATAAAAAGTCGTTATTACGACTTAATTCAAAATTTTTGGGGTAAATTTTCGTATAACACTACACTGTGCTGAAATAAAAAGCCGTTATTACAAGATACGAGATAAAAAGTCGTTAAAAAAAGTTATTACGACTTAAGAAAGTCGTTATAACGAGATAAAAAGTCGTTATTACGACTTAAGAAAGTCGTAATAACGAGTTCATTAAAAAATCGTTATTACGACTTAGAAAAGTCGTAATAACGAGAAAAAAGTCGTTATTACGACTTAATTTTTCTAATTTGATCCATGTAGGCTTTCGTACAAGGACTTTTTTTTTAAATAAACGTCTCTAGTAGGGCTAGGCAAAAATATTGATATTTCAATATATTGCAATACAATGACGAAAAATATTGTATTGCAATACGATTTTGTAATATCGACATACTGGCAATATGCTTAAAGAATTTTATCATTAAATATATATAAATGGATGTGAAAGGTTTGTTTTTAAGCCAAACAGTAAGGCAAAAGTTGTTTTTTGGGAGTATTTCAGGGCATAACTTAAATGAAATCAACAAGATTTTTTTTCCCTGATGGTTATTATCATAGTTATGTACATTCTGCATGTAAATTAGAGTAAATATAGTAAGAAAATGCCATTTTAATTACATTGAAAACATTGCAATACATATCGCAATACAGTTAAAAATATCGCAATATGAAATCTGGCCAATACCCAGCCCTAGTCTCTAGAAGCAAAAATATTGCATACAGTGTCTGTATATAACACCTTTGTTCCTGAACGGTATCTTAAGAAGCCTTTAAGTCGAAGTTCTATTCCACAGCCTTCTATGGTCTATTTTGATACGGGTCTTGTAGAGTAGGCATTTGCCTTAAAATGGTACCCTCCGAAAAACTGGCTGTGGAGTAACCTCCTCCTCCTCCGGGTAAAATAAAATCAGAAAATAGGCTCTAAAGTAGAATTTTCACCGACCGGCGAAAAATGACCCTTAGCGTAGGATTGACACCAGAGAAATCCAAAATCGGATTCATTTTTTCCGATGGGAAAGGGGTCATACTCAACGATATACAATGTGATTTCCCCCTGAGCCAACCCAGTCGAACCTTCAATCCCCCAATAAAAAACATGTACATGTATATCATTGGCTGTAGTTTATGTATACATGAATAAGGGAGTGGGTGGAAAGTTTAGATTTTGGTATTTCTGGGTCGTTTCTCCATTTTCGAAACAACTAGAATGAATTTTAGAGTTAAAAAATACACTGATTACGCGTTTCAAATTCATGGAGAAAAGACCCAGAAACTACAAAATTATTGACAAAAGAGCCGACTTTTGCTTCATTCAATTCGTATACCTATACATTGTATTCAGGTGCATATTTGAATAAAATCGAACATATTCAACCGAATATTTGCCCATATTACATTCACCGTCAACACAGTCAATGGCTAGGCTTTGAAAAAAAATGTATAAATCAATGGTACATTTTAAAATTCTTTTTATGAGCTACTATTCCTGCCGAATGGCCATCTAAAACGACCATTTTCTTTGTTTAAATGAAGGGTCAAACCCTCTTTCAAGGGGAGATAATTAAGAAATAGTGACAATTTGGTAGCATGTTTTAAAATTCTTCTCAACAACCGCTGGGCCAGGAAATATGAAACTCGTGTGGAATCTGTGTCAGGTAGTGTAAATTCATTTTTTTTTTTATCAAATCATGACCCCTGGGAATAGGATGGGGCCACATTGGACGAACAAAGTTATACATAGGAAAAATCTTCTCAGGAACACAAAGCTATGATTGAATATTTTTATGAGAAATGATCCTCAGGTTGTGTAGATTTAATTTTGTTTAAATCATTACCCCGGGGTGAGGATGCGGTCACAATGGACGATCAAAGTTTAAACATAGGAGTATAATGGAGAAAATGGGGAAAAGCTTATTCTCAAGAACAGCAAAGCAATGATTGGTCATGTTTATATGGAAGCATCCTCGGATGGTGTAGGTTCAAATTTGTTCAAATCATGACCATCAGGGGTTGCAGGGGGGGGGGGGAAATGAAAGTTCAATTTTGTTCAAATTATGACCCCGAGGTAGGATGGGGCCACAATGAAATTTCAAAACTAGAAGGAATAAAGTCACAGCTAGTCAAAAAAATATGCAAGCATCCTTAGGTAGTATAGATTCAATTTTGTTCAAATCATAACCCCCACCCCACCCACCCATCCTTTTTAGGGGTAGGTTGGGACTACTTATGCATTTTAGCTTTTCAATACTAAACTGATAAATGTTTTTTTTAATGCCCCGTAATCGAAGAATCGGGGTAAGGCAACAGAGCGAAGGTTAAATTTTCTAAAATGCAAATCAAACATGTTGATACCCAAAGTAAGGTCTTCTCACAAGGAATGATACAAATTTGAAGAAAAAAACTAACACCATTCGACCACTTGTTCGGAAGTTATGGCCAACGGATAAGGTAGGTCAAACTCAAAGTTAAAGGGTCAAAGTTGTTGGTTTCTAAAGAAAGACCTTGTCACAAATATTACATAGGAGTAGTACGAAAGCACTAGCCCTAACCGTTCAAAAAATACCTAGGTTAATTGTTTTTAAGTAGGTCAAACTCCAAGGTCAAAGGGTCAAAGTTGTTGGTATCCAAAGAAAGGTTTTGTCACGTAAATGCTAAATCTATTTCATTTGTCCAAAAAATGGAATCTGAACCCATTCTATATCATGTATATGAAAATCGAAAATTTCTGAAAAAATTTACGCTTCAACAAACCCGTTCATTTAAATCACACTGACAGACTTCGTAGCGAAGTGGTTAAAGCGGTCGATCTTGGACCAATCCCTGCGCTATGGAGAGAGTTCGAATCATACGAGAAGCTTTTTCTTTTTGTTTTCACATATATTAAAAACATGAATGAAAAATAAATTATTAATAAAATATTAAAACAATGAAATACAGAATTAAATGTGTAAAAAATGATATAAACAATACAATTTTGAAAAATATAACTTTTAGAATTGAGAAATGTCTTTTCTCAGAGCGGGGGATTGTCCTCGCCTTGTACGCCTCCATTCTTTGTTGGTACCCAAAGAAAAGAATCAAAAAGAATACATCTGTGAAATATGAAAGCCATAGTCCCACCCAGTCAAAAGTTATGGACAAGGTTAAGTTTTTGCGGACAAACAGACGGACAGACAGGCGGACGGAAAGGACAAAAACTTTATACCCACGAAACTTCGTTTACGGGGGCATAAAAAGCCGCAATAAATCAAAGAAATATATTAGCATTTTTAGTGTAGATTCAAGGTAATTCATATCATTATACCACCTTATTAAAGGAAGGTTGGGAAAACTTATGCATGCATTCATAAGCTTTTTAATACTGGATTGATTTTTGCGTTCTTCTTAGCCACAGTGATCAGGTGAGCGATGTGGCCCATGGGTCTCTTGTTTTGTTCTTTTTGGTGTTCCGAAGGATTCATACATTTCACTCGGCACAGTAAAATCAAAATTAATTGTTTATATAAATTTCTATATAAATCATATCAAAAGAATTTGATGAATTGCAGATGAAATTCAAATAAACAGCAAAAGTTGAACGGGAAAAAATGGGGGGTGGGTGGGTTACTCTTTATCGTTAAGTTGGGGGCACTATTTACTAAAGGTCGTCAAACGTTTTTATTGTGCATGTTGAGGAGGGGGGGGGGGGTTATAGTACAGATTTAATGCATATTGAAAATAATTAGTATGGTACAAAAAAGACCCCGAAAATTACGGTGGCTGCTATTGGACCCACGAAATAAAAATTCGTTCCCTAAGATCAAAAAGTAAAATAGGAGGTCACAATGGCATTATGGAATAAAGATTGTCTGAAAGTCTCATCAAATTTCAGTGGTGTAAGAGGAGTAGCGGATGAGAGATGGGTGACCCCAAAGCGTAACAGGCGGACGAACAGACGGATGGACGGACATCACGATTACTATATACCCTCCCACTTTTCAAGTGGGGGTATAATAAGTTTTCTCAAATTATCAAGTCATTCCCCCGAATTTGAAAAATCGTTCTTTCTCGATTCAAACGTTCTTGCGAGGAACATTATGTTTTCACGGGTTATACCTTCGTTTCATTATTTAATTTCATGCACAATTTGCTGGTCTTTCAGCTGGCAGCTGAGTGCACTTATTATATACTATGCTTGAAAAGCGGGATGATATAGGGTATATAGTAATCGGTCTGTCCGTCCGTCCGTCTGTTACGCTTTGTGGTACCCATCTCTTATCCGCAACTCCTCTTATACCACTGAATGAAATGATGAGACTTTCAGATATTTCCATTGTGCACCTACTATTTTACTTTTTGATCGGACACATATTTCAGGTTTCTCTTCTCAAATCATGGACATTGCCATCCTTTTTATGATGTTGAAGGGTACCCATACTTTATCCGCAAGTCCTCCTATACCACTGAATAAAATTTAATGATACTTTCACAAATTCTTTATTACATAATGCACCTCCTATTTTATTTTTTGATCGAACTCTTATTTCGTGTCTCAAGCGGGGGTATAAAAAAAATTAATACCATGTCCACAGCAGCCACCATAAATTTCCCATAACAATCTGCGAAAACCCACATTTGTTATCATTAATTACAGTTATAATATTACATTATAACAATCCCTTTTAAAGAAAGTAATAAATATTATGGATTTACATGTAACGATACTAATCTTTACAAATTTTATGGCATCATATCGTATAGTATTATATAGTGTTGACTCTATATATGGGTGGTACGAGTTGACTAGAAATTGTAGGTAGAATTGGGCCGAAACCACACGGCACTAACATGTTATTGGGGCGAATCCACCAGTTACCTCATTGTGTTAGTCATTATTTGAATTGAAAATACAATTTAAAAGTAATTTCTGTTTATGAATCTTTTTGCCTATATAAAATATTTAAGTCAGTTTAAATTATAAAAAATTGTCAATAATTCATGCATATAATTTTTCGATATTTTAGACATACTAAGTCCTTATAGGTTTTTTTGACATCTTCTGCCTACATGTTAAGTTAGGCCTTCACTTAGACACACCTGTGCACTGACTGTTATAAATGCAGAAACCCAAAACGGACAATCGTTGACTCATTGTATTCCTAAATTATCACCATTCGTATCATTTTTTATAACTTATTGATATCTGAATTTAGCCAATATCTTAAACGTTCCTGATATAATGAAGATACGGATACATGATTAAGAGATTCGAAGTGTATCAACGAAAAACACTAATTCGAGAGAGCCGGGAATCGGCTGTACTAGTTTTACCCCATGCTGCCTGTGCTCGACTCCATGATGTCGGAACTGATGATAATTAGGCCTAGACATAATCCAAGTTTTATTCATTTGGAATTATTTTATTTTCATATATAGGAAAGAAGATTGCTATGTTTATTTAACATTGTTAACATGGGGAACTGTTTATGTCCAGATAACTCCAATCTTAATAATTCAGCTACCGAGCCTGCTTTGCATACCCAGCCTCCCCAGCTGAAACCACCGGAGTCAAACGGGGCAGTTGTTTCTCTGAGTCAAGTGACAATTACAACACCTCCACCAGCATCTTCTCCTGTAGTAAATCCGCTGACAGTTCTCCCACAGCCAGGTCCAACGCCAGACTCTATTCATAACACTGTCAAAACATTTGTAGCTCTGTATGATTATGATGCTAGGACTGATGAAGATCTAAGTTTTCGGAAAGGGGAGCATTTAGAAATCATAAATGACACCCAGGGTGATTGGTGGCTTGCAAGATCAAGGACAACGAAAAATGAAGGCTATATACCATCCAATTATGTAGCCAAACTTAAGAGCTTAGAATCTGAGCCGTAAGTAAAATTTTAATACTAATAGTTTGTTTAATGAAGCTATTTAGCTTCTCAAGTATTCAATCTATGTAGCTAAATCAAGAGATTGGGCCAGATTTTTTTTCTCAGGACAAAAGGATAGCTAACCACTTCTGCCAAGTTCTGGGAAAATCCATCAGTGCTCCAAGTCACACTTGCTCTCAGGTCGCAAAATGGTGACCTAAAAATTTTTTTGGTCGCCATTTCAGAATTTTTGGTCGCCATAATCAAATATTTCACTCGCCATAAAAAAAAAACATTTTGTGAATAAAACTTGATAATTTAAATAAGGATATGTATTATGTCTTTATTGTATCATAGATTACTTATTACTGTGACTATAAAAATTTGCTAGGTTGAATGAAATATTTTATTGAATACATGTTGTACAGAAGAACACAAGTAATCTGATTACAGAAATAAAATTTTATCAAATGAAAATACAAGCTTGACAGCTGTTGAGACAGGACTTTGCCTGCTGTTTGTCATGTTTACTTACTACTACGATTTACACAGTCATTCTCTTTATTAGCATGATAATACAATCATGATTCATTGTGATATGCAACCAATTGATCAAATGCTTCAATAACAAGGTCCAAGTTTGGATGCCAATTATCTGTCCAATTCAGATTCTATCAAACTTTGTACAGCATGCCATGCTTGGATAAAATTTGTAAAGTGTATTTAAGTATATATGTCTTCAAACATTTTCTTGATAAAGAATCTTTACAAATGAAATCTCGATGCCGATCTTAAAAGTTGGACGTTTCCAGCCCAAATTTTCTCAGTCGCGAAAATGCGAGTGTGTTTTCATTTCTTGTTGCAAAATCAATTTTTTGGTCGCAAATGCGACCATTTTAGTCGCAACTTGGAGCACTGTCCATAGTAATTTGGTAAAATTTAAGAGTTTTCTTCCGATTTCAAGCAATTGATGGAAGTTTAATTGATCGTTTTTCTAGTGGAAACTTCCATGAAATAACTTTTTAATTGATTTTATGTATAGAATATGATTTATTTATTAAAAATCAACAAAATTATGCATAAAATGTATCAAAAATCACCATATAAACCTTAAGTTCTCTTGGGTTCTCTAGAGTTCTCTAGGGTTCTCTGTTTAGTATGACCGAGTTTCATGCTGGTATTAGTGGTAAATAATTCACACCAATAACTGATAAAATGTAGTAGCATATATACATATATATGTATATATATATAACCCAGAAGCAAACAAACTTATATAATAAATCCAGCATTTCTCTCTGTGTATTTATTGTATCATCATATTTTCAACATGATCTTACAATGTATGTTGCACTTGTATTACTTATATTCAGTAATTCCCTCCCCCTTTCCCCCAATGTACTTACTAACCAAACAATTAAGCTGTCGTGGCACAGTGTTAGACTACATTCTGGGCAAATGGTTATGGGCACCTTCACTGCAAGTTCAACCAGAGACATATAAATATGGTTTTATATGTCTCTGATACAACATACAATGCCATAGCAAAAGTATTCGCAATTTTTCAAAATGGCGGCCATAAACAAGGACGCACATTACAAAATTAAACTATTCAAAAAGTGTGAAAAACTTACTTACTGTTCTCAATATTTTGTGAATTGACCTTTGGATCTTATTGCTGTCTGAATCCGATGAGGAATCGATAGGTTTAGGTTTCTTACATACTCAGGGGAAATGTTTTTCCAAATGTTAAGTATTGCATTAAAAAGTTCATTTTGGGTTTTGATGTCTCTGGCCTTGTTTTGGAGTGAACGTTTTATTTTCAACCAAATTTTTTCAATTATATTAATGTCCGGGGACTGGGCCGGCCATGTGATGGATGGAATGCTGTTGTTTGTCTTATATTCACACGTAATCCTGGCTCTGTGAACGAGTGCATTGTCATCTTGAAATAGGTAAGTTTATTGGGAAAATGCCTCGCTATAACTGGCCATAAATGCAGGGTTCTCCAAAAGGGGTTTTACCATGACGTCCCGCCATGGTTAAATTTATGTGCGCCATGGTTAAACAAGCTGCGCCATAGGTAAAATTGGCAGCCGATTAAATTCTATTTCATTTCAGTCCTGACACTTACTTTTTTTAATGACTTGAGTAGTTAATTGTGTTAATATTAGACTGCCATGCACCTGGAAAGTTAACAGTTGTTATGATCTGGTCGCCTGCATGGTGCAGTGGTTAGAGCCTCTGCTCTAAGAGTTGCCTAGTAATGATTTGATCCTTATATCGAGGGTTCGAATCCCACTGTGCGAGGTGGAGACTGTATAAACCGAGGTCCCATGTCGCATTAGGTGCTGTCACGAAAAAGACCCCTCCCTGCTCGATGGCCTTGAATACTGGGTGTAGGAAAAAATTTGCAGCTCTCCACCAGCAAGTGGTGGCGTCTCCATGAGTGAAAAATTCTTGAGAAAGATGTTAAACAATATACAATCAATCATTCATCGTTATAATCTGGCTCAGTTTCACGCCTTTTAATCGCTATAAAAAAATATTTCAAACACATCAGTGATGTCGAGCTGCCAAAACATTGTGGTATAAAATGACAAATCTTCTAACATGTTATGTAATCATGTTTTAGTAATCAAAAAAGCAGTTGTTCTCTATTCATATACGTAAAATCAATGGATTGATTGATTGTTTGTTGTTTTATGTCCCATTCGAGAATTTTTCACTCATATAGAGACGTCACCATATACCGGTGAAGGGCTTCAAATTTTTACCTTTACTCGGCACTCAGACAGGGCCATTGAGCAGTGATGGATCTTTATCATGCCAACACCTGCCACTTACAGGGGGCCTCGGTTTTTAAGGTCTTATCCGAAGGACCCACAACTTTCACTTCAAAGTGCCAAGTGCATGGCAAAGGAAAAGTTACTACCCATTTTTTATCGACTAAGGTCCGTCGTGGCTGAGATTCGAACTCATGACCTCCCGATCACGGTCTACTAACTGAGCTACCTTGAACAGTCTAAAATCAATGGAAAGTGAAATCTAACTGGCAAATGTCAAATCTCATGGACAAATCTAATAAAAAAATACTGAGCGATAACAATATGGGTAAACAGGTCTGTTAGGGCTGTGGGGCCGATTGGGACAACAAGAAATAAATTTCTACATGGGAATACATGTATGATGAAACCAAAAATCTACAAAATTTTCCTTGAGAAGGGCAGGATCATGATATGACAGCACCTTCAGGTAATGCAGATTTAAGTGTGTTCCAATTATGATAGGGGGGATTCAACTGAGGTCAAAGTTTTATAGAGAAATGGGAAAAAAATCTTTAAAAGTGTTGGCATAAAGAGGTTTGTATGTGTCATATACATGTATTGAAAGTTATTATACATAGTTCTTCATTTCGTTTGCTCATGATTTGAATTGGGACAAGCTGTACAAGCTTAAATAACATCAAATAGGAAGTACTCATCAAACTGGAAATTTTATGTTGTAATAGTCTAAGCCAGTTTTAGGTATGTCCTAATTGGTCAAAGTCTGACAAACTCATCATACTCAGATGACCATGTTGTCTCTTATTGTGAAAGGATTGGTCTAAAAAAAGTTCATTAAATAATCTTTTTTTGCAGATGGTATTTCGGAAAAATTAAGCGAGTTGAAGCTGAAAAGAAATTGTTATCTCCAGAAAATGAACATGGGGCATTCCTTATCAGAGACAGTGAGAGCAGGCGCAATGACTACTCATTATCTGGTAGGTATAACTGGTTATATATAATGCTGGCTTACTTCTGGGCTTTTAGCACAGTGTGAGCCTTTCTTGCTACCTCTTTCCCTGTGCCTGTCTCTCAACTTTTAGTGGTTTGCGATTTTTCAAGAACCACTAAACTAATTTTAACCTGATTTGATATAGGGCTTACTGTAGAAAAGGGGGTTCAGGGATTTTCCACTACCCCATGTAGGGCCGAATATGGGCCCCATTCCCTACTGAAAGACACCTCTCTTTCCCCCAAAAATTCACTGCATATTATGTTAAATTTTTTAATGCAGAAATACTCTACATGTTATTAACTTGATCATAATTCATGTAAAACAAACATGGTCAGATTTGGAAATTTAAATATAATGAACAAAATTTTAAGAAACTTGAGTAAAACTTTATTCTCTGATTAATTCATGCTGAATTAGCTAATGATCAATTTTACTCATTTTAAGTGTTTATTTCTTGTAAAACATCATGCAATAAAATTTCCCAACTATCGGTCGTCAATGCTAGTGATAAAATGTTAAATTCCAAATTCAAAGGGCATGGGCCCCATTCCCAAAAGTGAGTGAAAAATCCCTGTGGGTTCAAAACTGTTCAAATGAAGGGTAAAATCCCATTTCAAGGGGAGATAATAAAAAAAGGTGGGGTTGTAATTTTGAAATGTCCATTTGTAGTTAGGCCACACCAGTTTAATTTATTTTTCTTAAGACTTAGACATGAAAAAGTTGAAGTTCATGGGCATGTTGCTTTTGTACTGTATGGGCTTATGTCATTATGTTTTTGTTGCAAATCTTACTAATTACTAATAACTTGTGAAACGTCTTTCTATAAACTTTTCACATTTTGACTCCAGAATCAATGGGTCAATTTTAACCAAACTTTCCACAAAGCACCTGCCCTCTTTCAAGGGGAAATGGTGAAAAATTTAGCGGTAGTTTTCAGAAATCTTCTTCTCAAGAACCACAGGGCCACAGAGTTAAAAACTTATGTTAAACCTTCTAATTTTGTACAGATGCAATTGTATGAGAAACTTCTGATATTTTAATTATAGTTCGAGATGGAGACACTGTGAAGCACTATAGAATTCGACAATTGGATGAGGGAGGGTTTTTCATAGCTCGACGGGTTACTTTCCGCACCCTATCAGAGTTAGTAGATCACTACAACCTAGAAGCAGATGGTCTTTGTGTCAATCTACGAAAGCCTTGCACACAGGTAAGTTTTTAATTAAGTAATATTCTTGCAATCAATACAGGTAAACTTCCGTATCTCAACATCGGATATGTCGATAACCTGGGATATGTCAACATCCGTCCGCGGTCCTGGCATTATTTACTATATGAATGATTTGCAAAAACTGTGATATGACGACCTCGGTAATGTCGACTACCCCGCTTATCTCGACGTATATTCACAGTCCCAAGAGCAAAATTTACCTAGTATATGTCGACATTGGGACAATTTTCTGCTCTGCTTAACCTAATTGTTTGTCAGCTGGTCGCTCGTCACGCACGGATGACTCCTTGTATCTCGACGTCGTCAGAAATTCACACCTTTCACACCCATGTTTTGACTACATACTGCTTCTGTAATAATGTGTTTATAGAGGAATCTCAAGCACCCTCACAGAGTTCCCGAAACTTATTAAAAATATGTCGGACAATTGTCCTGTAAATATTCAAAATTCACCGGACAGTTGTAAAATTTACCGGACATTAATTTTTTGTATGTAAATTTAACATATTATAGGATTGGAAATTGTGTCGATATAATAAATAATATGTGTAAATCAAAAGTTGGCAAATGCAGGTTTTTTTTTATAGATTTATTGAAATATTTTCTATTAGGCCTGTGTATGCGGGATTTGACGTCGCCGACGGTGTGTGATGACCAACGCTTAATTCATCGTATTAAATTATTATGTCCTTTCTGAGAGATTTTTTACTTTTTTAAATAAAATCTGCAACATGACAACTTTTGGTTGATTGTTTGGAATTAGTCCGAAATATCTGTCGTTTTCCAGGCTTTTTTTTTTTTTTTTTTTTTTTTTTTTTTTTTTAGGATTTTGGTATTTAAATTTATGTGCCAGGAAAAATATTATGTAAAATATCAAAACTGTTTAGCCTGAAAAACGTCTTAAGTGAATTTGTTGTTGTTTTATTACATTAAAGTTAGTCCGCTATTTTTAGCAAAGGGGAAAAACGCGCATGTATTTTAAATGCTATCAAATACATGGGGAAAAAAATCCAAAAGTTGGTATAATATTAATCATGCTAGTGGATTAAATTATAGAGAAAATAATAAATGGTAACAAGTTGTCTGTAGTCAAGCAGAAATAGCAGGCAACTCTTGCAACCCTGCAAATTCGTCCTGCAAAACGAAAGAGGATTGTCACTTTTTTTACTGTCAGAACTACGGAGTGCATATATTTATTAAGAGGGAAAAATATTTGTTTGACAGTGTTTTAACTGTTTTTCCTCCGAGACTTATGGAGATTATTATTTTAATATGTAGCTTTTTATAGTAGACATTCACCGTCTACAATTTTTTTAAACAAGAATGCACGAGAATAATCTGGCGCGCCCCTGACGTTTTTTTTTTTATTTCCTTTAGTTTTGCATTTGTTTATTGTCAGGACAATTGAATTAAATGATTTTGTTAAGATTATGTGTAATTGTTATACAGTCAGTAAAAAAAAATCATCGGACATTTTGACCAATAAAATTAAGATTTTACCGGTCCCATTCAAAGTTTACCGGGGATCCCCGATGGACCGGTGCGTTTCGGGAACTCTGCCCTCAGGGTCTCTTAGACATTAATTGTTTAATATTTAGCTGGTTAACCTGTTCAGCTTGGGTAATATCAATCTGCTTGATTCTGCATAAATATGTTTTTTTTTATGTCAAAATCTAACATAACTAACATTTTGTTTAAAAAAAAAAGTAACTGAATTATAATGAATAATATGCACATTAAATTCAATTTAACTTAGAAATTGGGGTAAAAATGCATTCAACAGGAAACAATCCAATCTATGGCATGGACATGACTATCAGCCGTGATATCCATGCATGTGTTACATCATTGAGCTTGTTTTAATACGCAAATCCTTTTAAATTTTGATTTGAAAATGAAATGAAAAATAATGACGAATGATAATGAAATAAAAATGAAGTGAAGTGAAATAACTTTAAAAAATACACATTGATTTTTTTCAGTATCACGGAAGTCGACTTTATATGGTTTCGATTATGAGTTTATAGAGTGCATTATGTATCCTGTTCTGACAAAGCAAGTTGCATGCAGAATGCTGAATGAAAAACTTTTATTAGTAAAATTAGAAGATTTCCATAAAAAAAGGAAGCATTTTATTAGATTACATTTGTGAATAATTCCACAGATTTTCTAACAGATATAGAGGGATAGCTGAAACAAACGAGCTACAGTCTATTGAAGACATGTACGTAGTTACACATACATGTTTTACTATGCAGTACTTAAATTAAGGACTTCGAGTCTCAACTCTGATATCTCGACGCCTTGGATATCTCGACATTTCCCGATTGGCCCGCTGTTGTCGACATAACGAAGTTTACCTGTATTTACTTTAATCTCCATTCTACTGACTGTCATTCCATGATTTTGCATTTAGCTACTGACTGTCATTCCATGATTTTGCATTTATCTCACTTTCAAAAAAAACTCCTCATGATATTTATCAAATATCATAAACTGACTTGTTGTTGAAAGCAACTTAGCTGACCTTGACGGTTGCTTTTTACATATTGATGAGAGCTTATAAACTGCATCAACATTTTTCTTTACTTTTCATTTGACCCAGTTTTTTTTCTTAAACTTGCATTTACCTTAGATTCAAAAAATACATTCAAAATACTTAAGATACTTTTATTAATGCCTAGGCTCAGAAATGTTTCAGATCTATACACAGGGCTCTACATTGACTTTTTTCCTACTTGAGCAAGACATTTACTTGTCCGAGCTTCAACTTCACTTCTCCAAAAAATTTTCAAAAAATTTTAATTGATTGGTGCTGTTGTTGATTGATAAAATACAACAAAAACGTAAAACCAAATTTTATCTAGGTTTTCTGTCCTGACAGCAACATAAATGTTCCCAAGTGAACCTGTCAACATAAAACAGAAAATATAGAATATATAAAGTACCGTATGTATAGTTCTGAAAGACATGGTCAAAATAATCTTCATGCTAGATTTCAAAAGTGTTATTTTTTTTATAGAGTTTTGATAACAGTTTAATTTTTAGCTCACCTGAGCCGAAGGCTCAAGTGAGCTTTTCTGATCAAAATTTGTCCGTTGTCTGTTGTCGTCGTTGTCATTGTCGTTGGCGTCGTCGTCGTAAACTTTTCACATTTTCATCTTCTTCTCACGAACCATTGGGCCAATTTTAACCAAACTTGCCACAAAGTATCCTTAGGTGAAGGGGATTCAAGTTTGTTCATATGAAGGGCCACACCCTCTTCCAAGGGGAGATAATTATGAATTGGTGAAAAATTAATGGCATTTTTAAAATATCTTCTTCTCAAGAACTACTGGGCCAAGAAAGATGAAACTCATATGGAAGCATCCTCAGGTAGTGTAGATTCAAATTTATTCAAATCATGAGCCCCGGGGGTAGAATTGGGCCACAATGGCCGATCAAAGTTTTACATAAGAGTATATAGGGAAAATCTTTAAAAATCTTCTTCTCAAGAACCACTGGGACAGGAAAGATGAAAATCATGTGGAATCATCCTCAGGTAGTGTAGATTCAAGTGTGTTCAAATCATGACCTCCGGGGGTAGGGTGGGGCCACAATGGCCGATCAATGTTTTACATAGGAGTATATAGGGAAAATCTTTAAAAATCTTCTTCTCAAGAACCACTGGGCCAGGAAAAATGAAACTCCTGTGGAATCATCTTCATGTAATGTAGATTCAAGTTTGTTCAAATCATGACCCCCGGGGGTAGGGTGGGGCCACAATGGCTGATCAAAGTTTTACATAGGAAAAAATGAGAAAAATCTTTAAAAATCTTCTTCTCAAGAACCACTTGACCAGGAAAGATGAAACTCATGTGGAATCATCCTCAGGTAGTGTAGATTCAAATTTGTTCAAATCATGACCCCCAGGGTAGGGTTGGGCCAAAATGGCTGATCAAAGTTTTACATAGGACTAGATAGGGAAATCTTTTAAAATTGTGTTCTTCTGAACTTCAAAGCCATGATTAGTGATATTTATATATCATCCTCAGGTAGTGTAGATTTTAGTTTGTTAAAATCGTAACCCCCAGGGGATTGGGTGTGGCCACAATTGGGCATCCAACGAAGTTTACCTGTATTTACTTTAATCTCCATTCTACTGACTGTCATTCCATGATTTTGCATTTAGCTACTGACTGTCATTCCATGATTTTGCATTTATCTCACTTTCAAAAAAAACTCCTCATGATATTTATCAAATATCATAAACTGACTTGTTGTTGAAAGCAACTTAGCTGACCTTGACGGTTGCTTTTTACATATTGATGAGAGCTTATAAACTGCATCAACATTTTTCTTTACTTTTCATTTGACCCAGTTTTTTTTCTTAAACTTGCATTTACCTTAGATTCAAAAAATACATTCAAAATACTTAAGATACTTTTATTAATGCCTAGGCTCAGAAATGTTTCAGATCTATACACAGGGCTCTACATTGACTTTTTTCCTACTTGAGGAAGACATTTACTTGTCCGAGCTTCAACTTCACTTCTCCAAAAAATTTTCAAAAAATTTTAATTGATGGGTGCTGTTGTTGATTGATAAAATACAACAAAAACGTAAAACCAAATTTTATCTAGGTTTTCTGTCCTGACAGCAACATAAATGTTCCCAAGTGAACCTGTCAACATAAAACAGAAAATATAGAATATATAAAGTACCGTATGTATAGTTCTGAAAGACATGGTCAAAATAATCTTCATGCTAGATTTCAAAAGAGTTATTTTTTTTATAGAGTTTTGATAACAGTTTAATTTTTAGCTCACCTGAGCCGAAGGCTCAAGTGAGCTTTTCTGATCAAAATTTGTCCGTTGTCTGTTGTCGTCGTTGTCATTGTCGTTGGCGTCGTCGTCGTAAACTTTTCACATTTTCATCTTCTTCTCACGAACCATTGGGCCAATTTTAACCAAACTTGCCACAAAGTATCCTTAGGTGAAGGGGATTCAAGTTTGTTCATATGAAGGGCCACACCCTCTTCCAAGGGGAGATAATTATGAATTGGTGAAAAATTAATGGCATTTTTAAAATATCTTCTTCTCAAGAACTACTGGGCCAAGAAAGATGAAACTCATATGGAAGCATCCTCAGGTAGTGTAGATTCAAATTTATTCAAATCATGAGCCCCGGGGGTAGAATTGGGCCACAATGGCCGATCAAAGTTTTACATAAGAGTATATAGGGAAAATCTTTAAAAATCTTCTTCTCAAGAACCACTGGGCCAGGAAAGATGAAAATCATGTGGAATCATCCTCATGTAATGTTGATTCAAGTTTGTTCAAACCGTGACCCCCGGGGGTAGGGTGGGGCCACAATGGCCGATCAATGTTTTACATAGGAGTATATAGGGAAAATCTTTAAAAATCTTCTTCTCAAGAACCACTGGGCCAGGAAAAATGAAACTCCTGTGGAATCATCTTCATGTAATGTAGATTCAAGTTTGTTCAAATCATGACCCCCGGGGGTAGGGTGGGGCCACAATGGCTGATCAAAGTTTTACATACTAGGAAAAAATGAGAAAAATCTTTAAAAATCTTCTTCTCAAGAACCACTTGACCAGGAAAGATGAAACTCATGTGGAATCATCCTCAGGTAGTGTAGATTCAAATTTGTTCAAATCATGACCCCCAGGGTAGGGTTGGGCCAAAATGGCTGATCAAAGTTTTACATAGGACTAGATAGGGAAATCTTTTAAAATTGTGTTCTTCAGAACTTCAAAGCCATGATTAGTGATATTTATATATCATCCTCAGGTAGTGTAGATTTTAGTTTGTTAAAATCGTAACCCCCAGGGGATTGGGTGTGGCCACAATTGGGCATCCAAGTTTTACATTAAAATATATTTTAAGAAATCTCCTTCTAAAGAATAGCAAAGCCATGATTAGTGATACTAGTATTTACATATATGGAAGCATTTTCGGAAAGTGTAGAAAAATAAAGCCAATTAAAGGGGAAAATCCCAAGAACAAAAAAGCTTTGTTTAGTCATATTGACATGTAAGCATCCTCAAGTATTGAAGATTTAAATTATTCAAATCATGGACGGAAACAATGGGGAATCAAATTCAAATATTATGAAGTTATATATAGGAAGAAAATGTTTTTAAAGAATCTTTTTATCAAGAAAAGCAAAGCCATATGCTGTATTAATTTGAAGGAATTCTCTCTCAAGTAGTATTAAAATTTAGGCCCCCCCCCCTTCAGTAAACTTTTCAGTTATGATCTGATTTTTGCTTTTTCCTAGCCAATTTGCTCAGGTGAGCGATGTGGCCCCTTGGCCTCTTGTTTTTTTATTAAAAACAAAGCTGTGAATAATATATCATCACGTTTTTCATTTATTTTGAAGTAGGAAAATCAATAATTACTTAGTCTAGAAACCTTTTTGAATTTTCCAAATTTCACTGGGTCTGAGTTAATATTTTTATACCCCCGCAAACGAAGTTTAGGGGGGTATATTGGAATCACCATGTCCGTCTGTCCGTCTAGCTGTCTGTCTGTCTGTAGACAAGATTTTGTCCAGACCGTTTTCTCAGAAACTATGGGATGGATTTGTCTGAAAATTTGTACACTTAGTATTCACCATATGAAGGTGTGCACCTGGTATTTTCATCATGATTGGGTGATTTTTCTGCATTTTACAGGCATTTTTTCTTTTTTATTTTGTTGTTTTGTTTGGCTCATAACTAGAAAACTATTAGACTTACAATCATCAAACTTGGCCAATTTATGCATCTTGGGTAGAAGGTGTGTCATGACCTATTTCAAGGTCACTGTGACCTTTAATTAAAGTGAAATTTAAAAAAATAACTGTCTTTTGCTATTGAATTAAACAATCCCAAAAAATTTAAGAATGTTGCAGTATCCCTACTTAAAACATGTTAAATTAAGAAAATATTTTTTTTTATTATATACTTTACAGCAATCCATAACAAATGTTATTTTATAAGAGAAAATCTACCTCTCCCAAGGGTATAATTATGAAGCACTGGTCAAGGAGAATTTTGATAACAGAAAATTGCATGTCAAATTAGAGAGAAATTAATTAGTTTAGTGTAAGGAGCTAACTTGAAGAACATTTCTGATCAAGAACTTGTTATCTGTCTCTTGGGAACTGGGCTAAGGAATCAGCCTTAAATAGTTTTAGTGACTAGCCTAACTTATTTAATGAATTTGAGAAAAAGCAACTTCAATCTAATTTGATATTGTATAATAAACTAATTTGAAATTGTATAAAAAACTTAATTGATATTGTATAATATAATTAAAACTAATATATATTGTGTGTGTATGTGGGGGTGGGGTGGGGGGATTTGAATCAGCATGCTCATTCTCCACATTAATTTCAGATTGAAACTTTCAGTATGATATAAAATCCAAATAAATCAAGTATTTAAAAAAAAATAAATAGTCCCTACAAATCTTAAGAATCATGCAGGAATCTTATTCAAAATGATGCATCAAGATTACACAATTTTTTTTTCAGTATAAATCTTTGTAACAAATTTATACAAAATCTTTGTTTTCAGATTTAATTTCAGAATGACACATGCAATAATGCATTTTGTTTGCACTACAAAGGAAAAGGTTAAGATCCATTCATCCCTTGATAGCAATTAGTGAGCATGCATCCAGTCAAAGATTAATTAATGACTTCTATGTAGGGAAGCTCATTTCTGTTAGAGCATATCTCTGATCAAGGAGCTCTTATATGTGTCCTTTGGGAATTAGACAGAAGAACCGCTGGTCAGTTTAAATAGCATTTGTCATTTGATGGCCAGTCTCCTATTTCTAAAATCAATTTGGTATAGATCAAGTTTTTAAGACATATTAGTTAAATTGATATTCTTTTTTTTTGTTGAAAATATCAAGTGACCAATTTCAGATCATCATGTCCCACATGAAAGACATGTGCATATGTGTATGTTTGTGGAGTAGGGGCATTTGTCAAGCTATAAAGCAACCAGTTGATCATTATTTGTTATAATTAAAGCTTGCACCACAGGAGATGTTTAAACAATTATTATAAGGAATGGAAAAATTACGCAAATCCCTTTAAAGGTTGACATGATTTTCGTGCACTCTAAACTGTTTATAATAATTGAATGAACAATATTTGATGGAGTATCATGCTGAGGCTGACTGCACTTTATTATTTTTAAAATGAATTTGATATAAATTTATATAGATTAATTTGATTCTGTATAATGTTTTTTCAACAATCAATTTGCAGAGTATCATGACAAATAGTTGCAATTTATTTTTTCAGTGAAATAAAAAAACTGTTACAATGTATTAGTATTGATGTTTTATTTCGTTGCACCTCAGTTTCATTAATTAAAAAAATATATATATCATGAGCTCTCAAATTGTTTCTAAGAAAATAGTGAACACCTCTCAATAGATCCATAAATATTTGTGAATTTGCACCTACTCTGAAAAACCCAGCGGGGGTATTTGTCCCTATTGGACAGTTCTAGTTCCGGTAGTAAACAATGGATGATGAGTACACATATGTTATACTATGTAGGAACGTACTTTGTTTACTAGTGTGATTTACAATTACATATATCAGTTTTAAATTTTCAGAATGTTTCATTTATTTGAGTAAAAAAAAGTTAATATCACTTTCTTCGGTTACAGAATGTTTGTATTTTAGTTAAAACAATTCCTTCTGTCTTTCATATAGCATAGATTTAATTCATGTATTCTCCCCACTGCTTCTGTTTTGAGGTCTCTACTGACAGTACACTAATAGAAGGGGTCACGTTATGATGTCTAAAAAGAAAAATAAGCTAAGATTTCATTCACAGTTTATTGATAAAACTGACAAAATGAAATCTGCATTCTCCCCAATCAATTTGCAGCCACTGTATTGTATTGACAAAGAAGAAAATGTATTGTCTCAGACCTTCATTATAGCCCCATGACTTAAGAGGATATGCACTAAGTTACAGTTGTTATTTTGATTATAGATAGAAAAGCCTCAAACAATTGGTTTATCCTACAACACCAAAGACCAATGGGAAATTCCTAAATCTTCCTTAAAATTGCTGAGGAACATTGGACATGGTCAGTTTGGAGAGGTTTGGGAAGGTCTCTGGAATAGCACCACCCCAGTGGCTATCAAGACTCTCAAGCCAGGTCAGTATCAAACAGGTGGCTTATAAAAATAATGGTAGAAGCTAAATTATATAAAGATGGAATTTAAAAAAATAACAAACAACTTTAAAAAAAAATATAGGCAATGTGCAGTTATATAAAATGTTTGTAAGGCTTTAAAAAAGTTTATATTTGTGTGGCCTGTAGAACAGAGTGGCACTTAGGGATCACTTTACCCAGCAGCTGTCTGTCCTTTCGTCTGTCCGTCTGTCACACCCTATATCTCTAGAACTGTTAGAGATATGGATTTGATATTTTGCACATATATTACATAGCACCATGACTTCTGTAAACTACCGTATATACTCGCCTATAAGTCGATCCACCTATAAGTCGGTTGCATTTTTTTTAGGAAATTTTGGAGGGATTTGCCATTGACCCACTTATAAGTTGGTACAACTTCTTGGAGGTGCCAATTTGAAATCAATGTTCTAAGGTTTTTGCCTGTGTTCTATATTTTTTTTAAATATTTTTTTTCAACAAATAAATTTCATATCAATACTCATATGTATTCACCTTTGTACGAATTTTTTTTTGGGATATGATTTTCAATGTTCAACAAACTAAACAGCTGCATTATTTCATTTACCCAAGTAACTTCAAAGTATTTTGATTTTATAGTGATTTCCCTTGTCTTGTACCTATGTATATTTTCTACACTGATCTTGATAATTTTTCTACCTTGTTCTTTCTTTGAAATAAAAAAGGTTATGTCCAAGCCATCTATTATTAGCAATTATCCTTAATTTACGTACCTGCACAGGTAAACAATTATTGTCTCTTAATTACCTATATCCCTTCGGCTGCATTTCATTTCCGGAATTTTTGGTAATTGTCAACTTTTCATTTCCGACATTTTTTAGTTTTCATCTCCGACATTTTTTTTTTTTCATTTCCAACATTTTTTAAAGTAGTACCTGTATTAACAGATTTGATAACTTTACTTATAAAAAAAATTAAAGGATTAAATCATAGATACATCATTTAAATACAATTTTGTTAATCTATCCGTGACATGGACATAAGTATGGTGCTGTCACTGACATTTAATTTAGTGCACATTAAATTTGGTGAAAAAGTTTTTGCTCATTAAACACTTTTACCAAGACTTAGTGCTACAGGTATGCATATATGTACAGATTTTTTAAAATTATATTTTATTAATATTTTGGTATAAATACTTTTGAAATTCCATTTTCTTTTACTTAGAAAACATTGAACTGCCGCACAGGTAAATTCCGGAAATGAAAAGAAAATTACGTCGGAAATGAAAACAAAAAATGTCGGAAATGCTATGCATATTTCCGGAAATGAAATGCAGTGATCCCTTCCCTGACACCATGTTTATTTAGTGGCACGCTTCCTGAGAAAACTGTGTAATGGTTTTGAAAAACAATTTCCTAGGCAATTGAGTTTTAATATTCAAGAATTTCATTCTGAAGTTTTTTAAATAAAATATGTTCTCAAAGTTATTTTAGATGTTACATGTATATAAATCATTTCATTGTACATGCAATGCTAAATGGCATTTAATCGGGTTTGCAATTCAATTTTACCAATAAACGATAGATTTGCAGTGCAGTACCTTATGTTACAAGAAGTTACTGAAAGGAATAGTTATGTAAATAATTAATAAAATACCAATACCCACTAAAGAAGAAAATATTTAATTATATAAATGGATGTACTTTATGCAAAGTATTGCTATAAATAAATAATATATGTCCAGATGGATGTCAACAATATTCTTGGGCATTTTTAAAAAATGCTGCATTTTGCCGTGAAGAAAATTACCAATTTTTTGATGAGTTGCCTATAAGTTAGACATAGAGTTTTGGACCAAAATTTAACTCCCAAAAAACCGACTTATAAGTGAGTATATACGGTACCATGATTATCTAAGTATATTGTGACCTGTGACCTTAAGCTTTGACCTACTTTGTAAAAAAAAAATTCAGGGCTGTTTCATTCAACATGACTTTTAAGCTCATCTCAGCGAAGTTGGGGTGGGGGGTGGGAGCTTATGTGATACCCTTGGCGTTGGTGTCAGAGTCCCAGATTAAGGTTTTCGGAGCTTTTTTCTTTGTAAGTAGTTCTAAGCCCCTATATTGATCATACATGCATGGAACATGCTTTTAGTGTGTTTCATTGTACCAGATGAGGTTTCAGATGCTACAATTTCAGCAAAGGAACGACCAAGGTTAATGCTTTTGGAGCAGGTTAACATATTTGATGCAGTTTTTGGTGTACAGTAGGTCTCATTTCCAAGTAACTATGAGCCCTATGATGAGCTTGCATGGATGATACATCTAAGGATGCATACTACCACACTTGCTTCAAATGCAGGATCTAACTTACATTTGCCAGATGAGTGAACAGGTAAATGTTTTGGGTGCAGTTCTCATTTCCAAGTAACTATGAGCCCTATGATGACCAAACTTGCATGGATGAAACATCTAAGGGTGTACACTGATAGACTTGCTTCGGAAGCTTGATCCCACATACATTTTTCAGATAATGAACCAGGTAAGTTATGGGTGCAAGTTGAACACCAAGAAACTATAATGCCTATATTAACCAAATTTGCATAAATGATGCATCAAGGGATGAACACTCTCAATCTTGCTTCAGATGCTGGATTTGAATTACATTTTCTTGATGGGCGACTTATAAGTTGAAGTTTTTGGAGGTCTATTTCCAAGTAACTTCAAGCCCTATCAGATCAAAATTGCATAAATTTTGCATTTTGAGATGTAAACTTCTAGAATGTTACTTAATTGTGGACTTTGCCTTACTTAAAGACAACATTCATTGAGATGAGCTCTGTAATCTCTGATTACCTATGTTTAAGCTCTTCTGAGCCAAAGGCTCAAAGAGCTTATGCTATAGCCATTTGTGTGGTGGTAAACTTTTTAGAATATGGGCCATAGCTCAAGAACCCCTGAGCCAATCATTCTCAAATTTGTCACAGGGTATCCTTGGCCCAAGGGCCACCATTTATACTAAAACTAGGGTAAGGACCCTTAAACAAGGGGAGATAATCAGGAAACTAAAACCAAAAGTACTGGTTGTTAAAAAATCTTCTTCTCCAGAACCAGCCAGCAGATTTTCCCCAAACTTACATACAAGCATCAGGATATGTTGAAGATTAAAATTTGCTTGGGGAAATAACCGTGGGGTAAAGTGCGTGGTCCCAAGGTCATTTTAAAGTTGACCAAAAATTACACTTTATAAAAACGTTTATATTTTGCATACTCTAAAGACTAGGATCATCAAATCTTGTAAGTTGATGCATCTTAGGACTTCACATCACGTTAACTCGAAAGAAGGTCACAATGACCTACCTTTTCAATTTACCATTGTTTTTCAAATTGATTTGGAGGTGTATATTGGATTTTAAGGTCCATAATCATCGAATTTTGTCAGTCGATGCGTCCTGGGTCTTCCAAGTACTGGGATAGTTACTTTTTGTCTCCTTTAGACTCAAGCAACACATCCCTTAATAATACACAAATGTTCCTCTTCAAAATAAACCCTTTTCAGCTACCTTACATTTTTATGTTCGTTGCTGAAAGTTGGGCCCTTTGAGATGGCCACCATCCCACTGACATCTAGTAATTATTATTTTTAGGTACTATGGATCCAAAAGATTTCCTGGCTGAGGCTCAGATAATGAAGAAGCTCAGGCATCCAAAGCTGATACAGCTATATGCAGTTTGTACACAAGATGAGCCAATTTACATCATTACAGAACTCATGCGGCATGGAAGCTTACTTGAATTTTTACAAGGTAAGGTACAACAGAATTTATAATAACATTTTGTTTTTAAGGTATTTATTTTCAAATTTTGTCTTAAAGAACCAAAAGATTTGATTGCAAAATAATGTCTGTTTTTTTTAAGGCAAAGGCAGAACTCTTAAGCTTCCACAATTGATAGACATAGCAGCACAGATTGCAAGTGGCATGGCCTATCTTGAATCACAGAACTACATTCACCGAGACTTAGCAGCTCGGAATATACTTGTAACAGACAATAACACAGTCAAAATAGCTGACTTTGGATTAGCCAGAGTAATAAAGGTAATTGTGAATTAAGATTCACAAATTAATTTGAGCAAGTTATTGTAATTATTGCATGTGTTTGAAGGCAAGCCAATGGGCAAATGTACAGGTAAACTCAAAATTGGATATGTCAGCAACCTGGGATATATCAACCTCTATCTGCAGTTCTGGCCATATTAACTATATTAATGATTTGCCAAAACTCTATGTTGACCTTGGTCATGTTGACTACCTGGCTTATATCAGCATATACACAGTATAAAGTATAAAGTGGAAAATTTACCTGGTCTATGTTGCCATTGTTAATTTTCTGCTCTACTTGACTTAACTGTTTGTTAGATATGACATCATTAATTTTTTGACAGCACACTGCTTAGGAAGGCTAGGGGATAAACAAATAAACCATCAGATATAACTTAATTTTTATGCCCTGCCATGAATATGGCATATCAGTCTTCCATCTTTCCATCTTTCTGTCCTTCCGTCTGTCCTTCCGTTACACGTTTCGAAGAAACTATCCAAGATATTTTCATCAAACATCACATGCGGGCGAACTTTACTTACAAGTTACCCAATATCCAAGTTTTATGTCCACTTTCTTCAAATTATGGCGAATTTTTTTTTTTATATAGGATTCTAGATGTTTCTCAACAATTGAAAAAGACCTTGGGGGGGGGGGGGGTTATAGGGCAGTTAAAAGGGATTTTACAGTATTTATATATGGACATCTTACATAACTTTAAAATTCTGAAAAAAGTAGCTTGATTACAATGAATATAAAAGAATTCAATTTAAAATACGAAACAATGTCTTATTGATATTTTGTGGTATTGAATTCAATGGGAAACCCCACCAACATGCAGGATCAGTCGTAATTCATGTACAAAAATCTTTTTAAATGAAATGAATATAATGATGAATGATGATGAAATAATAATCATGATATTTATGATTATTTTTTTCCCCTATCTCTGATGTGGGCTTATACAGTTTGATGTCTATAGAGTCATTAGAGTGCATATCATTTCCTGTTCTGGACTGACAAAAAAGCAAGCTGGAATGCTAGATGGAATACTTTGTTAAAATTTTGTAAGATTTTGATGAAGAGAAAAATTGCATTTCAAAAATCGTAAATTTTATTAGACTGTTTTATCACAATAACTTTAAATGTTCTGCCGATGATAAGAAGACAAAGTTTACCTGTACATTGTTGAAGTGACCATAGACTTGCTAATGGAGTATATTTGTTATAAAAATATGCATATTAGC